GTGGTGAATGGGAAGGCACCCAAAGCCAGTCGGCACAGGATATCACAACTTTTTATTCCTGTTCATGTGCCCTACTACTAACAATACAAGGTAGTGTGGTCCTTGTACAATGAGTAATCCATCATGTACAGTCACCAGAACGCCAAAAGCAAATGCGAAACGATGATTTGAACCCAGTGTTACAATCGGAATGCTCCCGAAACAAACGCGCAAATACCCGTGCTGGAAAGGGGATGCCAGGGAACAAGCAGGCATCCATCGTCGTGGACAGTCCCAATCCCCCCTCAAAACATCAAAAGATGGTGTTCTATCTCCAGTCGTCCAATCTCGTATGCTGAATGCCAATTATCCGTCACACCCTGCGCCCTTTCATATACCCGCGCAAATTGAAAGAATATCACACAGTCCAAATAGGATTTAGTAAAAATAAGAGTATGGGGCGTTGGATGAACCGCTCACCCTTGAGGCGAAAGTCGTGCTCAGCAACTATCCCAGAACTTACCCATGACAGGGCTAATGAATTACTCGCTAACGATAGGTGATAACAGGGAAGGTCTTCCTGTCTGTTACATTGACCTGGTATTCGAAGATCCCGTCCACAGTGGCGACGTATCTATACAGTCAGCTGGAGTTTACCCTATAATCAGAGCAAGACATGGCACCTACAATGTCCGGCCATCTGCACCCCAACCAATACCAGCTGTGCTACCCGGTTCCTGGTCTCGACCAATGCCCAGGCTACGGTCAGGAAGTTCATTCAACACGTTACGAATCCATCGAGGTGAACGAGCTTGTTCGTAATCCCACTGTGTCTGCCGATACCGCAGGTGACTTTGCCGGCTGTGTGGTAACATGGCATTCTGTCGCTGTTGCCGTCGAAGGCGTTCCACGGCCACGCTGGCTCTCAATTCAGTGCCGGAAAGCCGCGGTGTATCTTGCAAAACCTCCGGCGTGCCGTCCTGACCCTCAAGCCGTCTGTGGCCTGAACGGGATCGCTGGTGGTTTCTTGGCGGGGGCAACAAGTCTGCTGTGGTATTAGAATAATCAAAATTGGCCGACGGACGGTTCATTGTGCCATGAAGCCGAGCCGTAGAGCCCTGTTCGTTACCGGAACTGTTAGGCTCACTGGAGCTGGAATCTGCAGCATGCGCAGGGGTGTCCGAACGATTAGGGTATATCTCTGAGGGCGAAGCAGTCCAGCTGAGTGTAATACTAGGCTGCGGATCGGGGTTTACCAGTCCCGTTTCGGGAGTCCTACTGCTGGCTTCATTATGGCTAGAAGTCAGTAGGACAGAGCCCTGGCGTCTCGCATGTTGGCTGCGATCACCAGTTCCCGTTTGCGAGTCCTCTTGGTACAGTTCTCGGTTTGGATGGCTGCGTGGTGGAGGCGAAGTAGGGCCGGAGGCTCGACTGACCTCATCCGTGGGACCGTGGAATCGGGGGCGCACTGTAGGGTGAGGATGAGCATTAGCTCTAGCTCGCCGCTCTGCTAACCCGTCCTCCATCCTCGACGTCCATCGTGCTGTATTCAGAAATTCAACAATCAGCCTCTCTCTTTCTGTGAGGTCCTGTATCAGGCTCTCACTTAGTGGCGAATTGCCCGAACCCGTCGCGCCTCGGTTATGGAGTGATTCATCTAATGCGTCAATCGCTCGCTGTGATGCGTCGAGCTCATGCCGTGTGTCCGGGGAGGCTCGACTATCAAGTTCGAATAATAAGTCATCCAGCAATGGCTCCGTACGGACTTCCTGCAAGTCGGGCTCATTCATATCCAGTTCCAGTATCTGTCTGCGAACGAAACCGCGACGGACATCGGCAATCCCAGCTCGCCCCTTGTCTTCAAGCCATACCAGGAGATCCCAGGGCTCAGGTGCAAACGCCATACATCGTACAGCGCCTCCATTGCAGCAAGCTCTTGACGAGTTGAAGCGACAAATTATCGCATTTTGGCCCTGAGGCTGGCGTATAATATCGCGGATAGTCCCAACGTCAAAGATGGTGATAACTCCAGACTGCGAACCAATCGCGCATAATCGACTAAATTGAGAAAAGGCGACAGTGAAACAGCATCCATCGTCAAAGCGTGTGCCTATGTCCATTTCTATACAACGAAGGAGGTCCCAGTTCCATCCACAAACTTTGTCACCATCATCCGTCACAGTCACTGCATCGAGGTCGCGGGTAACATCATAGAAATATGCACGTGTCTCATCACCAACCGCGGCAAGGACAGTTGAATCGGGTGACATGATTGCATAGTTCATGCACGCCGGATGATGAAGTACCTTGAGGACTTTTGACCGGGCCAGGGAGTAGACGGTAACGGTCTTATCGTTATTACTGCAAAAGCGATCAGCATCTCAGGTGACCCAAAAATTGCCGTGCCCATACCTGAGAATGGCTATATCTTCCTCCGCTAGCTCCTTTCCATCCCCGGGCAGACGATGGATCGTCACCGAGTTGACGATGCTGCCTCCGAACTTGTGCAATTGCACCTCCGGAACCTGCCTACTATTACCATGGCGAGCTGGTCCAGGCTCGTCGCCAGGCATCCAAGGCGGTGATATCCTCGCAGGCGGTTCAAGATCGATTGGCAAAGCACTGTCCACGTCCGACGGCTGGAAAGCCGGTGTATCGGCACGGGCGCGCGGACTCCGATCGGACGATAGCCCAACAAATGCGCATTCCCCATTATCGGCGCCCCCCACCCCAATCCAACCGTGACCAGCAGCGAGACATTTTGGCTCGAACGGAATAACGGCAATGGTCTCCCGCTTTTGTGATGAAATGTGAATCGAGTATATGACTCGCTCGACGACAACGTAGATCCTGTCCGGGTCCGCGGTGCTAATGTAGTTGCGAAGTTGTTGATGGCTATCATACGATTAGCACTGATCAGCCTGCTTTTCTGCGAGCTCAATGTACAGACAAGTTGGGAATTTTGAAGGGGAAGAAGCGGCGCTTGTTGGGAAGGATAAGAGACTCCGTCGGATGATGCCTGCAGATTGATGTGACTTTAGCAATCGGCCATTGAAATTCATTATCTAAGTGGAAGGGGAAGCAGGAGACTGACGCGAGCGAATCCGTAGTCATTGTGAAGGAACGTCGATATAATATTTTAAGGTGACATGGTCGGAAGTACAGCTATGGCGGAGCTCCGATGTTGCGGGAAAACGACGGACAACGCAGAGGGAGCAAAAGAGTCGATGGTGAGTAGTAGAGACGACGAAAAAGAAAAGATGTAATGGGAAGGGAAACAGCTGAAAAGGAGGCCGGTGTCGCAGGGTATTATTGAAAACAGGGTCTAGCCTGAGAGTGGGAGATTGAAAACTAGAGCTTGTTCGAGTAAAGTAGGTAAAGCAGAGGGAGCACACCACACCAGCACCAGATACCTCCTCTCTCTCTGTCTTGTCTGCTTCTGCTCCCACATCGCTTTCCCTCCCAACTGATCCGCCCTTCACTGTTTGGACGATTTCGGAGGGTGCGAACGGATGACGTAAGACTTAGCCGGACCCAATCCGGGGAACCTCCAGCGGCGAATGCGGTCGAGTTCAATTCGAGTCCACCGCTTCCAGCCTGCCTTACATTCTTCTCTCTAGACGGTAAGGAAGGTAGATCCTCAAAGTCTTTATTTGGTGTACCTAGGTAATTATCGGATCCTGTAAGGTCATACTATCGCTTTTGCCTGCACGCAGCATGCCATTCAAAGCCATCCCCCTGTAGTGTCTCAAATTCTGCAGTACGCCTAGTCCTGAGTAGACCGAGGTCTCGTGAGGATTTCCCGTCTAGGTTCACTGGCAGCTTAACAGGAAGCAGTGTTTCGACACACCACTGTCTAGCATCCATGGATTCAAACTCGGACGGGTTATCAATTCCCCGTATGACTTTCTATTCCATAGTTTCTTCATGACGTTGACTGAAATATGGCTTCTTGAAGATATTGACACCGACTAGTAATTCTTGATGTTAGTTTTTTGCAATAAAGCTACGGAACATATTTTGCTTGGCGGTGATGACTCATGACATGTCCATGTATGTCTCTTGAAAGTCTATCCTGGTCGATTTCTTTCGACGAATTGGCCAATGGTGAGGACTATGCATTTCGCAACATTTTTCGATCGCAGTATGCAGCCTTAGTTCAGACAAAAGGGATAGTAGAGGATGCAGAAAGTGTAGCCAGACATACTAGCACTAGCTATTATTCTTCGCTGAGATATAAATTGTACCTAGCTGGCCAGTGTAAAGGTGCCGAGGCATCTAGTTGATGACAGAAAAGCAATAATATTGACCACTATTGAAGTACTTTTATGTACTCATATCAACCTGACTTGCTATGACAACTATGGATCGAGGTGCCATCAATGGATATGGCCTAGAAATGTGTAATGCGGGACTTAATATCAATGGAATTGAATCTATTCAGTTTCAACTTGGACGTATTGCTACAAGTGACGTGTATATAGCAACAGCTTATTTTTACAATCAGACTGACTAGTATTTCATCCGAAGCCATTGACTTTTGACTCATACTGACACCTGAGCAGTTAGGGGAAAGAGAAAAGAGAGCGATGGAAAAGTATTCAAGCCACAGTGGCAATGAGTAGAGGACACTGGTAGCTTCTGCGAGCTTTTGCAATGGAAAGAAGAGACCGGCCGGGGCAGTGGCTCGGCAACTCAGCTTGAGCGGTCAAAAGGATCGCTGAGCTGCGATTGGATGGCACGCGGTGTTGCCGTGATTCTACCAAGTTCGACGACGGGCCGAAGCTCTCCGGGACGATTTTTACTAGTCCTGGCAGCCGGCGTCCTCCCTTCTTTTCAAGTTTCTTCCTCCCCAGAAAGAGCTGAAAAATTCTTGTTCTCCTTCAACTCTCCTCCCTCCTGTCTCCATCTTATACCCTCCCTCCTATATCCTCCGGCCCTTCGATTGAATCGACTGGCCCATTTCTATATTTCTCTTTTTAATTAGTTGTATTATTTTGTTCTTCTAATCACATCTCACAATGCTGTCCTCTCGCATCACCCGCGCGGTAAGTCCTGCATCCCCATCATTGTTGATGCTAGAATGTCGTTCCTAACATCACATTCTGTGAATCAGCTCCCGCGCACCACTCCTTTCGCTCGCGCTCCCGCTTTCAGAGTCCCCGGTGCTGCCGCTCGCAGATGGAACTCCACCGAGGGTGGTGAGGAGAAGGTGAAGGGCCAGGTCATCGGTATTGACTTGGGTAGGTTGAAAATCCCTGTGCTTATGATGTAATCAACACAGTATCTAATACGGTCACACAGGTACCACCAACTCCGCTGTTGCCGTCATGGAGGGCAAGACCCCCAAGATCATTGAGAACACCGAAGGTACGCGAAAAATTTTTCATCCGCCGCGCCAGTTCCGCAGTGACTCCGAAATCGGAGCTACACGCAGAATCTCGCTGGTATCATGCAGTTCGAGCGATAGGTGGCTGACTTGAGATGCAAATAGGTGCCAGAACCACTCCTTCCGTTGTTGCTTTCGCCCAGGACGGTGAGCGTCTGGTCGGTATTGCCGCCAAGCGTCAGGCCGTTGTCAACCCCGAGAACACTCTCTTCGCCACCAAGCGTCTCATCGGTCGCAAGTTCACCGACGCTGAGGTCCAGCGTGACATCAAGGAGGTCCCCTACAAGATCGTTCAGCACACCAACGGCGATGCCTGGGTTGAGGCTCGTGGCCAGAAGTACTCTCCTTCCCAGATTGGTGGTTTCGTCCTCAACAAGATGAAGGAGACTGCCGAGAACTACCTCAGCAAGCCCGTTAAGAACGCTGTCGTCACTGTCCCCGCCTACTTCAACGACTCCCAGCGTCAGGCCACCAAGGACGCCGGTCAGATCGCTGGTCTCAACGTTCTCCGTGTCGTTAACGAGCCCACTGCCGCCGCTCTTGCCTACGGTCTTGAGAAGGAGGCCGACCGCGTTGTCGCCGTCTACGATCTTGGTGGTGGTACTTTCGATATCTCCGTTCTGGAGATCCAGAAGGGTGTTTTCGAGGTCAAGTCCACCAACGGTGACACCCACCTTGGTGGTGAGGACTTCGATATTGCCCTTGTCCGCCAGATTGTCCAGCAGTTCAAGAAGGAGTCCGGCCTGGACCTCTCCGGTGACCGCATGGCTATCCAGCGTATCCGTGAGGCTGCTGAGAAGGCCAAGATTGAGCTGTCTTCTTCTCTCCAGACTGAGATCAACCTTCCTTTCATCACTGCTGATGCCAGCGGTGCCAAGCACATCAACCACAAGATGACCCGTGCCAGCCTCGAGTCCCTGGTTGACCCTCTCATCAGCCGCACCGTTGAGCCCGTCCGCAAGGCCCTCAAGGATGCCAACCTGCAGTCCGGTGACATCCAGGACATCATCCTGGTCGGTGGTATGACCCGTATGCCCAAGGTCACCGAGTCCGTCAAGTCCATGTTCGGCCGTGACCCCGCCAAGTCCGTCAACCCCGATGAGGCTGTCGCCATCGGTGCTGCCATCCAGGGTGCCGTCCTTGCTGGTGAGGTCACTGACGTCCTTCTGCTCGATGTCACTCCCCTCTCTCTCGGTATTGAGACCCTTGGTGGTGTTTTCACCCGTCTGATCAACCGCAACACCACCATCCCCACCAAGAAGTCCCAGACCTTCTCCACCGCCGCTGATTTCCAGACCGCTGTCGAGATCAAGGTCTTCCAGGGTGAGCGTGAGCTCGTCAAGGACAACAAGCTCCTCGGAAACTTCCAGCTTGTTGGTATCCCCCCTGCCCACCGTGGTGTTCCCCAGGTCGAGGTTACCTTCGACATTGATGCCGACTCCATCGTCCACGTTGCCGCCAAGGACAAGTCCACCGGCAAGGACCAGTCCATCACCATTGCCTCCGGCTCCGGTCTCTCCGACTCTGAGATCCAGTCCATGGTCGAGGATGCTGAGAAGTACGGTGCTCAGGACAAGGAGCGCAAGGCTGCTATTGAGGCTGCCAACCGCGCCGACAGCGTCGTGAACGACACTGAGAAGGCTCTCAAGGAGTTCGAGGACCGCCTTGACAAGGCCGAGGCCGACCAGATCCGCGAGAAGATTGCCACCCTCCGCGAGTTCATTGCCCAGAACCAGTCCGGTGAGGGCACTGCCACCGCTGAGGAGTTCAAGCAGAAGACCGACGAGCTCCAGAACGCCAGCTTGACCCTCTTCGACAAGATGCACAAGGCTCAGTCCGAGCAGCAGCAGCAGCAGCAGAGCGGTGAGGGCGAGAACAAGGCCTAAATGTACAACCACTGAACTCCCCATGACTTGAACAAGCCATGGGTGTTTCCTGTATTTCACCTTTGCGTTATTCCCTAGAGCCTTTCCTCTTTTTTCTTCCCGATGTTTTAACACGCATGATATGTATACATACCTGATAGCTCTGACTGATCTATCCCTGTTCCGGTGTATTGGTGTTTTTATTTACTCTTTCTCATGTTCATTTCCCTTCTGTATTCTGATTTCTCTTTTCTCCAATCCCCTCTTCATACCTTTTTGGGCCGGGTGAGCGTTTGCACTTCTTTGACAGGAGGGCCATCCGTTGGAACGGATGCATGGAGTTTACATTTTGTAACTTAATGACATTACGGCTGGGAGACCACGAAAAAAAGGATGTGGTGGGCTGGAATCTGTGACAATAGAATATGAAATTCTCCTCTCCATTTAACAACTGTGCTGTGCTGGACCTGATACAATGTATACAAAAACAAGAGAACATACGTAGACACACACGTAGCCATGCCCTGTGAAACACGACCAATTTCATCACCCAACTACTGGCTAGTCTACTAGTCTAATCACTATGACTAGTGAGTCAGTGAGTGACCACCATACCAACATTCTGGAAATCGCCCCGAAAAAAAACCAGCTGGGCAAAGAGAAGTGGGCCAGGCAGGGCAGGGCAAAAGGCGCGGCCGCCGCGTACACACAAAACAAGTCTGTCTGTTAGACTTAGACTACTAGTAGCTTGACTGACTGAACCTGGGTGGTAGGCACACCCTGGTCCAACTACCATCTAACTATCTAGTTAGTGGAGTCCCCATCTATCTATTTATTTTTCTTCTGTTTTCTGTGGGTGGATTCCATACTATCCAGTATCCATTCAATTCAGTCATTCGCATGTAATGAGTAATATTACTTATCCAATCAACCCAAGCTTCGAAGATGGGAAACCCACTCTCTATTCCTGTGGTTAATCTTAAGACTAAGGGAGTGTTCCAAGAAATGATTATAATAATTATTATTATTAATGTCATTGTTTTGGTGCGTAGTAGTAGTGAGTTTTGGATTTGACTGCAATGGGACTAGATACTGAGTTAGTAACTTAGTATACTGTGTGGTCTGGGGGAGAAAGTCGATAGCCTCGTTTTCGGTGCCATGAAATTTAGCGGGTCGGTCTAGGTGGTGGTTTATCTGGGACAGAGGATGATACTTTGGTTGTTGGTGTTAGATTATGTACACTATATCAAATCTGGCATTAGTACTCTGGAGAGTATTTGGCTTTGGCTTGCCAGCTGTTCATACATACATACATTCATTTATTTATTATGTTGTGCTGTGTTGTGTGTGATGTGATGAGGATCGCAGGAGGGAGGGAGGGATGGAGGGAGTGAGTGAGGGATGTCATTAGATGATGTGATTAATTAATATAATTGACCTAGTAGTTAGTAGTAAATGAGTGTCCTGCGAATCAGGTTGAAGGTCTGGGGTGAAACATACATAGCGCATCTTTCTTTCTTGGATTGACTATTCTGTAAAAGTCTGTGAATTTCTGTTGTTGAATGATTATTAATATTATTGTTGTTTTTGTTTAGTATACATTGTTGTAAATGTCGTGATAGATTGATCAATCCTCCTTTTTACGGAGTATTTCTTCTTATCATTGAAGGGGGTTGGATGGATTCTCACTAGGAGTGATGAACCTTGCATTGACATCTACAAAGAGAGAAAAGGAAAAGAGTACACAGTAAGAAGAAGTGGATTGAAACGAGGAATGAAAACCTGCCACGGGTTCCCTGCAAAGATTCCGATGATGCCTTGAGAGGGAGAGGAGGACCTGTTCTGGGTTCAAGTTATTTTTCCTTGTTCTGACGATCCTTCCCGCTAGATCGAAGCTTCTAGCACGCACAGATTATAATTTCATAAGAACAACAGAAGAGAGAGAGAGAGAGAGTTGAACTGTGTGAAAAAGAGGGGCGGAAGTCACTTCTAGAGTCCGTGAGTAGGGAAAGAAAGGTAAATAAAAAAATAAGAAAGAAATAAAAAAAATCTTTCTTCTGACTGGAATGTGAGCAAAGAAACACAGAGAGATGGTGTGCTTGGGGCTACTCTCATCCATCCATTAAGGGACGACGAAACAACCGGGGAGCAGGAAGCAGCGTTCCAGAAGTGGAGCTAGTGATATGCAGGATGGACAGAAAAATAAAAATTGGACTTATCATCATATTGATCTAATATAGTTCAATGGTGACGGCAGGCCAGAACATCACACACACAGTACGTAGTAGTAGTATGGGGTAAGGGGACTATAGTAGGGGTTGTTAAGAGTTTAAGAGACCTGTTTGTTGTCTCTCCCTATCAGGATGTGCGATCGAGGCCTCAATCAACACACCACATCGATGGACGGTCGAATCAGATTAATAGCGATGAGGTCGGGACAACTTACTACTTTATTACTTACTGCGTAGTTGTAGTACTTATTGGTTATGAGTAAGTACTAGTAGTAGGCACGGGGAGAAAGTGCAGGACGTACTTTGGTTCTTATCGGCAGTAAGACCCCCAACTGTAACCAATCGCCGCTGGTAGACTTGCAGGAGCGTTGCAGATGAAGGAACAAATCATCGATGTACACACATGCAGTGAGGAGCTCTGGCCAAGGAATCTCTCATTCTTCTACACAGTAGGGTGGGCAAGGAAAATATTATGGAGATTGGCAAGTGGACTGAATGGAGGGTGAGTGGATGTGATGAAGGGAGGGGGGCGTTAGAGCGCAAGTAAATCCTGTGTTGTTCTTTGGTCAATCAATGAAGAAGAAGAGAAGATGACGATCCTGGCAGTAGTAGTACTATCTAGTTGTGGTCTGACATGGCCGGTAACAACGCTCTCCAATAATCTGACAGACCTTTGAAGGTGGATTCCTACGGAGTCATTTCCTCTCCTCCAGGATAACTTGTGACTAATGAATCAATCTGTGTCACAGATGATTCTGGCAAAACATCCTGATGAGAGCTGTTATTTTCTGCTTGTGTTTCGGCTGGTACCAAAAGGCCAAAAAGCCTGGATCTCTTTTGCTGGAACGCCCCATTTTTCTGCCCTGACTTGGACCAAACGGGCACTCCTCACGTCCAGCCTAATTTGAGAACCACTTGGAACGAGTCTATTTATTTAGACTGGATAAATTGCGTCTGGCTGCAAAAAATCTCCCCTTCCATCATTTGTCGATCACCGTGTTAACTAATAATGTACCTTGTTCCAGGAATGATCCAGTCAGTGGTGTTTTTTTCGGGGGGGGGGGAGAGGGAGGGAGGGAGGGTGGAAGGATGAGAGGGATGCCCCGCTCGGTTGATTATTTATTGTTGTTATAATTATGATTTTTATTATTTTGATTATAATAAGTATTTATCATTATTTATTAGTATTTGTTACTACTTACTACTGTGGTAGTGTGGATGAAGGACTTGAACTGCCCTGGCTGGGCCTCTTGGATCCAATCCCACAGGAATCCACATTTAGTTAGTTAGCTGGGTTGTGTGTGTGTGTCTCTTTTTTACCAGTGGAAAGGCGGGTATCTTCCCACTTTCCTTCACATTTGCCCCTTGGAACACTCAACCCAGCGAACCAATCTTTGCCCTTTCCCAACCCGTGTCCTCCTCTCGTCTTCAGTTTCTCCCGTATTCAGGGCGGGGACCTTTTTCTTTTTTCCCACCATTCTCATTGCTCTTTCCAATTAACTTCCCCCCTGTCAATTTGTCTACGTAGCTGGTTGGGGAACTCCGGCTTTCGTCAGTGCGAAATAGTAGTAAAAAATTTGATAACCTTGACACGCTGTAATACCCTTGTAATCCACTCTGGCCATGAGCACAAAACCCCCGATCTTCCATGATCTTCTACTTTCCTTCTCATTAAATTGTGTTACAAACAAGTAGTAGATCAGCCGGTCCTCATTGGTCACTTTCCTTTAGTAGCTAAAAATAAACATTACCAACTCCAGCCAGACAAAACTGGAAGTGAACGAAGGAGACTAAAAGGGGATGAGTGAAAAAAATATTTTATGACTGTTTCTTGGACCGATGACACAAAAAGGCCACAGAATGCTTTTGGTGAATTAACTCGACAATTCCTAGTAGATCAAAAAAAAATACTTCTACAGTATATGCAATCATCCAGGTTTCTTTATCAATTGTTGAGATCAAGTCAAAGTTAATATGTTGGCGCATTACCTTTATGGTCATGGTACATATCGACCCTGGTCTAAACCGATGGTTTTTGCTTCTGCTCCGGCAGAATAACACTACTAAAAAGTACACATCTCAGATCCCAGATAGACCCGGGGGGGATCCGATAAATAATAGAATTTAATATAGATTACTTGGGTTGGTTTGTGTTTGTCACTAGTGTGACAGTAGTGGATTTCTATCGGAGGGGCAGGCTAGTGTACAACACAGAGGCATGATTTTCGGGGGACTGAAGGATTTTGGCACAGAATAATCAGTCCAGTGAGGGCAAGAAAGTGAGTGAGTAATTACAATGATGCTCATGGTTCATTTTCAGGGATGGCGCGAAGACCACTACTACCACCACTGGGCCTACTTTTGGTACTACTAATCTGAGATCGATCTATCTATTTATCTCAAGCAGGATACTAATTTAATTTAAGATAGAAGAATAAGTGAATAAATAAATAAATTAATAAAAAAGGAAAAGAAAAAGAAACGAAATGGAATGAAATGAGATTGTCGAAGTTATGATAGAAAAGAGAGAGAAGCAAAACAATAAACAGAAAAGAAAATGGATCTGAATCGGCCATCCCACAAGTCGGAATTCCATTCAGGTTGCAGAAACGGGCAATGAACCAGACAAGTTGTGCAGTCTGTACTACATCGTACTAAGGGCATTATTGTCAATTATTACTACATCTGACACTGGAGCTCACTAGTGCTGTTGCAGGTCCCAGACTTTATCCATGGACTTGTTTGTTTCCAAGGTCCAACTGACCGTAAAATCACTACTTACTATCTACTGACTAGTTTTATTAGCTGCTAGCGTACCTCTCTAGTGGTTGTCTAGAGCTGTCCCATTCGATCTGGTTTAATTACTTTGACCAGTATTGTTCCAATCTTGCTCTCGCCCTCGCTCGCTCTTCTGTGATTAGTATTCCTTCTGCTCTCTCTCTCTCCCTCTCTCTCTCCCCTTCTCTTGCTTTTCTTTTTAAACTTATTATTTTTGTTTCCTTTTTCTTTTTCCCTTTCCCTTTTACTCTATTTACATTTACTCTTCTTTTTTTTTTTCTTTTCCCTTTTTCTTCCCCCCCTTGGTTTAAACTTTCATGCAAACCTTCCATTAGGATCGCTGCCCGCTAGAACTATCTCTTTTGCGCGCGCGCTTCTCAACAAACAGGCACCACTTGTGACAGTCTTGCCTGCTTTCCTCCTTCAATCCATTGGATCCCTTGCTTAACCGTTAACCACTCTGCATTTGTCCCTCAACTCTAGTGGGTTGACAACCATCTCAACCGAACATTCGAGGGAAAAACCGCGGGAAATTTCCTGGTGAGAGAAAACAAAAAAACGGGCAAGGTGCATCGCACTAGCGGCCTCTTTTTCTTCTCTGCTTGGTGGAAGTAGTCCTTGGCTGCGTTTGACATTCTATTCTTCTGATTATTTGCTGCAAGTGTAAGTCCCTCTCTTTCTCTTTTGCTACTTGCTCTCGTCAATACCCCAAACTCTACATCTGCCACGCATTCTGGTCCTTCTCCACGAAGCCTTGGCCTCTTCCTCCTTCTGCCAACTAGCCCATTGTATCCTCTTCTTATCATCCAGTCATAAACTTCTTCCCTTTTTTGTCCTCTCTCCTTCGACTCCCTCTGGCATCTCCCTTTCTCACCCTGCCTTACACACTTGTACTCCTTCGTTCCTCTCTTTCTCCCTCTCCCCTCTTTCATCTTATTCAGCCATTCCTCAGATCTCATTTCCTGCTGCTTTTTCTTCCGCTCCATCCCCCCCTCCTCCGAGTCATATCATCTGCACTCTCCAACAAAGTTTCCATGTGCATGCCAGAACTCAAAAGCGGTAGATTGGATCAACTAATTCTCTGACTGGATTTCTCTTCTTCAGTCTTCTCTACCATGACAGTTGCCGCACCTCCTGTAGCACCCGTGCACGAGAATGGCATGAACGGAGGTGCCCCCGGACATCATGTCAACACTATGAGCCTCCCCCGTTTCCATCCAATCGCAATGAATCCGCCGCAACCAATCCCGCCAGAACATATGATGCCTGCCCATCATCAATTTCGTCCTTTCCACCCCCCTCCACTGCAGGAACAGGGTCCGCCTGCACCTGGTCCGCCGGGTCAACCATTTCAGATAGATCATATTGAGGCTCGCCTCAGGCAACTGGAACATGAAGAGGCGGCTCGCATGGCGGCCCGTAGTCATCTTCTCGCCATCCGGAAGCGAGAGGACGAGGAGTTTCGTAGGATGACTGAAAATGCGGAAGCAGAAGAAGAGGTATGGTTATTAGGTTGTGATATAAAATTTCCCCACCGTTTCAACTCTGACATGGATTCTTTTGCCTACAAATCAGGAACTGCGTAGGCAACGGAAACGAATTAAGCGGGAGTCAATGGGACTGGGATTTAATGCAAGCCTGGACTCTCCGCCGCTTCGACCAACGCCGCCTCGCCGATTATCGGAAACCAATGCAGCGACCACCCTTGCATTCTTCAAGCAACAGAGCCCTCCGGAGCCTCGTCCAATTCCCCCGCCAGCACAAGCGGCACCGCCCCATCCTCCACCGCAACACATTCACCATGATCCTACCGGTGCCACGTCAATCAGACGGAAACAAAAATATACCATAAAGAACGTTGAAGCTTGGGGGGAGCGTCATGGACGTCCGGCCGCGCATGACCCTTCTGGACGGGCGCTCTGGAAGCGGCCGTCGGACGGCAGCTTGGTGTATCTCACATGCCCTGTTACGGGCTGCGGCAAGGCCGACTTCGTGACCTTGCATGGCTTCATGTGCCATTTGACCAAAAAGCACAAGGATCGTAGCCTGGGCAGTCAATCCCGGGCGCTTGAGGTGTGCGGTATAGTGTTTGATCCTAACGCTCCGCTGCCACCCGTGGCTACCGTGAACCGGGCATCTACTGAAGAAAGTCGCCTGGAATCGGGTCCTGCGGATGGCGAGGGATATCAGCAGGAGATGGAATATTCTTCTGCGTCAGATGAGGAGGAGAGTCGGGAGGTCCCTGTGAAAACGGAGGCCTCAGATAGGACACTGCCTGCGCCGCCGGTGACCATGCCTCCGGCGCCGGAGCAAATACCGGTGCCGAGAATGAACGGCTCAACTAAGCAATCCATCTCGTCGATTATCGATCGTGACCCGGAGGATGAACCCCGGGGGCGACTAAGCTCAATCCCGCCTCGGCCGGCTGAGGCACCAATCCAGGCGTCCCCGGATCAAAAGCCCTCGATCAAGGACGAGGCCGAGTTCCCTCGGCCACATGAGACCGAGAAAGAGAATACTGACCCTAAAGACACAACCGAGGCAAAGTAATATATACAAATACATCATAATTACTGGTTATTTTCATTGCGTTGGCCTGTGACCAGGCAAAACTTGCATTTTTATCACCTTGCATAGTCCGAGCATGCTTTTCTGATTCTGTTCATATGCAGCTCTTGCGTCAATACCCTCTTTTCTATTTGTGGGAGGCCTTGTGCACGTTCATTAATAATGTAATGTCTTACTCTTGTCGCAATGATTGACCCTCTTTCCATGTATGCTTGGATTGATGGGGATTCTCTCTTCTACACATGCCCATCCATCCCTATGCCTCCAATCACTAGTACATTCTATACCCTTTATAATCCCCAGTCAAAGATGATATCTTGAACCCCGGGTGCACAGTTATTGTGTCTGTTATTTCCTTGCTCTTGCTTCCCACAAGAATGTCCATATACTGCTTTGGGATGTTTATACATGCATAGCTGTTTAGCTTCTGGCCAGAACGATGCAGTTGAGAGACACGAGTCTCATTCAAAAGTTCCACAGCTCAGGCCATGTCCATAGTCCATGAAAGACATATCATTCAGTCCATCTCCAGTCTAGATCTACCTCAAAACCAAAACATGCACCAAATACCCACTCCCAGACATCAACTTCTCCCCCAACATCTCATCACTCACCCTCCACACGCGAAACACCCTCAACGTCTCCCGCAACCACGCCTCAAACACCTCCGGCGACCGCTGCTGCTGCGCAATCACACACACCGTCGGCGTCCTCCCTGTCCCACTAGAACCCCTCCCCTCAGTACCAGTGGGAGTATACACCGGCCTCAGCCGACACAAATCCGCACACGTGCGCACAAACGGCGCTACCAACGCATCGTTGTAGATACAGTCGCATGACACCACCACGTCGAAGCCTTTATCTTCTTCCTCCCCACCCTCTTCACTACCATCCACGGTAGTGGTAGTACATAATCCCAACCCCTCCTTAAGCGATCCCGCAACATCTAACTCCCAATCTAGGGATGTAAATATCACATTCCCATTCCCATTACCGTTCCCTGTTGCATTCGCTTGTCCCTGCTGGGATTTCCGAGCTGCTGAGGAGGCTGACGCTTTGGTGGACTTCTTCCCCGCCTTGGAAGATCTACTTCCACCGGTAGAGGTAGAAGTAATAGTGCTGGCATTCTCATCCAGATTCTGGCGGAATAATCTCTGCACGTATTCCTGGTCTGTGGCGATGTAGTGGGCTATCTTTGGTGAGAGGGATAGGGCTAGGAGGGCGGAGATGCCGCTGCCTAGTTCGACGATGGTGGAGGTGGGGGTTAGGATGTTGTGTGTCCAGAGGGGGTTGGGGGTGGTATTCTTGGTGGTTGTGGTGTTGTTGGAGAGCCATTCTGCGATGAGGGGGGTGATTTTCCAGAGGACTGTTTTATATCATATCATATTAGATTGGTTGGTTTTGGGGTATTGCTGTGATGATGAAGATGATGATGAGGGAGGGTAATGGTGAATGGTTTACTTACCTGCACCGGTTGTACCACCTGCTCTGGAAGATGATAGCAGAGTCGGGGATTGATGAATGGTATAGTCTTGGTCGTGGATGGTCAGGTCGATGGTTGTGGCGCGAGAGTCGACGAACCCTAGGTTGGCGGAGGGGATGTCTTGGGAGAAGAGGAGGAAGGATTCTATTTGTTTGAAAATGGTTTTTGGTTTCAATGGTTATTATGTGTGGTATACGGGGTGTTTATAGTGGCTTATATAGGTATACACGCTATGATGATATTGCAATCGAGCATGGGAACATACCCTCTTCTGCGTCTTCGACTTCTTCGCCGATGGTGGTGAGGAAGTTTGTGAGTAGATCCATGGTTTCTTCAGATAGAATGTGTGTCTGTCTGTCTAGTGTCTACTAGGTATACAGAGGGTATGTGTTTTGAGTGTTTCAGTTCCCACTTAGGGTAGGCTTGTTTGCTTCTGATATTGGCTGTCCTGGTCAGTTAGTAGTACTTAGTCATGTAGTCTGTCAATCGGAAGATTTCATCTGTAGTGGCGGGCGTTGTACAACGGAGATCAACCGGGGTGTGAAACGGGGAGAATTGAAGTTTTGACTGCAACAAGGGCTTGCAATGGATGAAGAATTGTGATGATAATGAATTTGCGGTGGTTCTGACCGACGGGAAGTTTTCCAGCATTGTAACGGCTGGCATTCTGATTGGTTGGCGGGAAGGGGGTCTCACAGTCACACCGCAGAGATCCTTAAAACGTTTCTTCATGTATGCTGCGACTGCATAAGAGGGTTGATGCATAAGTGGATGAAGGAGGTCATGACAAAGTCAATTGCCAATAGTCTTTGGACTGAATGTCTGGTGCCTGAGTACGTCCTGGATAGCTAATAGTCATTTGTAGAATGACGGTGGGAATCCCAACAAAAGCGGAACTGGGCTTAGCCCGCGACCGAGACTTTCCGATCGCTTTTCTTGAATCATGAACTGCGAATCCCTTGGACTCTAGAGGCTTCTTATGCCGTCATCTGGGCGGGAATCTCTGGAATTGTGGATTCAATTAGTTCATATATCTCTCCTTGGCTATAGGTACGTAGTGATCTAATCTGCTTACTGTACTGCTGTCATGTCGAGACAGCTTGACAAGCTCCATAGTTTGTGTTTATGTTTGTGTTTGTGTCTGTCCCCATGATCTCCTGCTCTCCCCGTGTGTCAGAACCTTGAAGTTGTCGGCTGTGCTGGACCGCGGCTAGTACTTTATGATGTTGCATTCAGATTCCCGACCGATCTAGACGATGCATGAGCCTAGTAGTAGTAGGGGAGGTACTACTGGTACAGTAGTCGTGGCCTCAAGGGGAGAGCGTTGTCACGATCGCAACTATTGTAGCGCATTGCAAGAGCGGAGAAATCAGTCGACTAGCCAGTAAAACCAGATCATATCATAGAACCAAGGAACACGATGTGCAGGGGAAGAAGAAGGATCGCAAAAAGGGACTTTGACCCATCCGTCATTGTAACCGGAGGTGGCGGACGAGCCAGAGGAAGCAACTTAACTGGGGGGACCGCCTTGACCTCCCGTCCAGCCACAACAAATACTCTCTCTCGCTCTGACTTCATTTCCGATCTGCAGCTTCATCTTCTCCTCTTCTGGTGCTGCTGCTACTTCTCCTCCTCCACTACCTCCTCCTCTTCTCCAGCTTCCCTTCCTATTTCCCCCTCTTCTTCTCTCCCCTTTTTAACCCCATCTCATTCGGGTCCCTTACCATCTACCGCCCGTATTTTCTCCCCGCAATATCTCCCGCCTTGGAAGGCTTCTTGTCTTTCTTGCTAAAGGCTCCACCTGCAACCTCATCCCCCCCCGGTTTGCAGTCCGTCAGTGTGGTTCTGCACTCCCGTAAGTCTTTTGAGTTCTGCGCTCCGTCCCTCTTCCTCCGGTTCCCGTCTCTCTGTGCTGTTGCTTTTTCCATTGCCGTATTCGTTCAGACCGAACCTAAATTCTCCAACATCGACTGACCACCACACCCCATTCTTTGTTGGACAGACCAAGTCCCCTACAGATCTTGTCTTCCCGTTCCCTCCATCTAGAAATCCTGTCCCACCAAGATGCCGATGTCCAAGAAGGAGCTCCAGGAGCTTCGCATCCAACCGCGCATGTACAAGAAGCCTCCGTTCTCCGTAGAGGCTCCTGGATACGAGCCGGTTGAGGGCGAGACCATTCCTCGTCGACTGCCCGCCGCCAAGAATGGCCTCATCCTTCGCCCGGCTGAGGATGTCGGAACTACCTACGATGTCTTCCGCCGCTCCGCGCGTGTTTACGGCAATGCGAAGGCCGTCGGAACTCGTCACTTGGTCAAGACCCATGTCGAGAACAAGAAGGTCAAGAAGGTCGTCGATGGTGTCGAGAAGGAGGTCGACAAGCAGTGGACCTACTTTGAGATGAGTGGCTACACCTACAAGAGCTTTGTCGAATACGAGAAGCTGGCCCTGGAGCTCGGCTGTGGATTGCGAAAGCTCGGTTTGGAGAAGCCCGACAAGATCCACCTTTACGGCGCAACTAGGTGAGTCTGCAGTTGAGCTTTACCGAAGTACATGAGGAATGCTGACGTTGCGTCTTTTTCTTATTCCGCAGTGCACATTGGCTGGCCATGTCACACGGTTTGTGCCCAAACATCTACCTTGGCTCATTGGTCGGCAACTAATCGCAATCCTTGTGAACAGGTTCCGCATCTCAGTCCCTGACCATTGTCACCGCATATGATACCCTGGGTGAGGAGGGATTGAAGCACTCTTTGGTCCAGACATCCAGTGCCGCCATCTTCTGCGATCCCGTTCTCATCCCCTCCCTGGCCAACGTTCTGAAGGATGTCAAGTCCATCAAGCACGTCATCTACAACACCGACCAGGAGCCCAAGAAGGAGCACCTGGACCGTCTCAAGTCCGAGTATGACTACCTGAACGTCATGAGTCTCGAGGAGCTGCGGAAGTTGGGTGAAGAGAACCCCGTGGATCCCGTCCCCCCGGCTCCTGAAGACCTTTGCTGTATCATGTACACCTCTGGTTCTACCGGCCCCCCGAAGGGTGTCTCCCTGACACATGCGAACGTTATCGCCGCAAGTAAGTTGTTATTCGGAATGTCTTTGGCTAGTCGCCGCTAACGCCAACTTCCTACCTAGCTGCCGGTATCCACGAGATTGTCGGCCCTTACATCGGTCCCTCGGATGCTCTCCTCACCTACCTCCCCCAAGCGCACATTCTGGAATTCATGTTCGAGAACCTCTGTCTCTTCTGGGGTGGTACCATGGGTTACGGCAACCCTCGCACCTTGTCGGACGCTTCCATGCGCAACTGCAAGGGTGATATCCGCGAATTCAAGCCCACCATCCTGGTCGGTGTTCCGGCTGTGTGGGAGTCCGTGAAGAAGGGTGTGCTCAACAACCTGAACAAGAACAACTTCCTCATCAAGAGCATCTTCTGGGGTGCCATGTCTGCCAAGAACTTCCTCATGACTGCTGGATTCCCCGGCGCTGATACGGGAGCCTGGTTCCTGGACTCCGTGGCCTTCCGCAAGCTCAAGGAGGCTACTGGTGGCCGGCTACGGATTATGATGAACGGCGGTGGTCCGGTCTCCAAGGACACGCAAAAGTTCCTGTCCATGGCCGTTGCCCCCATGATCAGCGGCTACGGTCTGACCGAAACCTCCGCCATGGGTGCCCTGAACGACCCGATGGCCTGGAACCCTGACGCGCTCGGTGAAATCCCCGCCTCTATCGAGGTCAAGCTGGTTGATTTCCCGGATGCAGGCTACTTTACGAAGAACACTCCCCCTCAGGGAGAAATCTACATTCGTGGAGGCAGTGTCAGCAGCAACTACTGGCAGAACGAGGAGGAGACCAAGGAGGCCTACACCGATGATGGATGGTTCAAGACTGGTGACATCGGCGAGTTCGACCACCTTGGCCATCTCAAGATCATCGACCGCAAGAAGAACCTCGTCAAGACTCTCAACGGTGAATACATTGCTCTGGAGAAGCTCGAGTCTATCTATCGCTCTTCCCCCGTGGTCGGCAACATCTGCGTCTACGCCGCCCAAGATCAGGACAAGCCCGTTGCTATCATTGTCCCTGTCGAAGCCACCCTGAAGAAGTTGGCCAACGACAACGGTATCGAGGGTGACTCTTTGGAGTCTCTCGTCCACAACGAGAAGCTGAAGTCTATTGTCCTCAAGCAGCTCCAGACCGCTGGTAAGGCCGGTGGTCTGAAGGGTATTGAGATCATCAACGGTGTCGTCCTGTCCGACGAGGAGTGGACCCCTCAGAACGTAAGTTTTACATCTCTTCGCTTCCATTGCACGGTATACTAATGAATGACAGGGCTTCATGACCGCCGCTCAAAAGCTCCAGCGCAAGAAGATCCTCAACCGCTTCCAGGAGGACATTGACCGTGCCTACGGCAAGAAATAAAAACACCACCGATTATAACTCAAGTCCGCGACAGCGAACAACTCATCTCATCTCGATCAGCCGCATATCTTATGCCTGCTTAATTAGTATATCCTCTATATCCCTCAGCAACTGTTCTGTTCGGCTCGCATGATTTTTTGATCCTGCTAATTTCGTTTTCTCTTCGACTTCTGTTGTTCTATGATATACATGTATCATGTTCTCTCCTTTCTTCGTGTGTGTATGTCTCCGCTTAGCTAACTCTCGATGTGATACTCACTCATCCCGGTGTGTCTATGCCATATAAAATTCATCAATTTTCATTCAACTCTACCTCGTTCGTAAGTTACCAGTAGCAGCTATATGAAGCAGACAAAAAAAATGCCCCAAATCGAGATGCAACCACTCAATAGATCGATAGATGGATATGTCCTAGCTTCATCCCCTATTCATACTATCTCTCTCTCTCTCTCTCTCTCTCTCTCTCTCTCTCTCTCTCTCTCTCTCTCTCTCTCTCTCTCTCTCTCTCTCTACCCCTTTCCTTATCTCTCGACACTAACCTAGTCCCTGTAATAGTTTCGCTAAAGTCATTACTACTAGTTTACCATCGAAAGTAAAAAAGTAAATAAGATAGTTACTATCTACTGTATACTCAAGCTAAGTGTGGGATGACTCGTACCATACATAAGTAGTATCATCTAACTATCTCTTCTCCTAAATGGAATAATCCACAACCCACATTTGATATGAAGATAGTATAAAGTCCCTATCTATCTATCTATCTGCTATATAGCATTTACCTGCAGGTAGATGTACTATTGAGAGTCCATTTAATGGATACTAGTACTGGTGTTAATAGCCAAGTTTCAGTTTCACGTAAGATGATAGATAGTATAGGTAGATAGCTAGCTAGCTAGATAGATAGATATCACAGAGCGAGTAATATTTTGTACTAAGTACTGGTAGACTACATAGCGTTAGTAGATAGCTGCTGCAACGCATGAGTCAATTGATTTTACTATTGAATATATGTTAATGGGTTATCATTATATATGATATGATTCATGATCTACTATTTCACTAATTTCATGACTAGTAGGTAGGTAGTATTAATTTGCTGAGGAAATTGCTATGTAGAATTGATCTAGAGGATCTAAGTATGATATACGTCTCATTGCCGAAATCTTAATTTCTATCTTGAGTGATATACATGCAGTGCATGCTTCTTGTGATGGGTAATATGTCAGATCAATTCTTCTTCTCTTTTCTGATGTGTCTGAAAGAGGGGGAAGATGATACAGGTCATTTCGTTAATTCGATGGTTCCTGGCGCTATATTGACTGGGACGTAATAGGAAGGCGGAATTGAACGCCATTTGACTAAACCGTATCGAGACTAGTTGGTATTCCAAGTTACTGCCGACGAGAGCTCGATTCGCAACCTTTCCGGACTGCAAAAGAACAATTGAGTGGAACTACCTTACTTACCTGGTGCCTGATTACATTCTTAACGTCCGTTTCTCGTATACTTACCTTTCTTGCTTACAAGGATGTCTTTCTGGAGGTGGGTGGTCTATTACAAATCTAATGAGGAAATGGCTTTACGCTGACTGGGAGATACGCACCACACAGCTCATATCGGTCCCTCTCGCCCAAAACGAGAGCTCTATTCGGAATCGGCGTGATGGCCTGGGCGTCGATTGGGCTTTGGGCTTCGCCGCAAGTGGAAAATGCTATGGGTATGGCGCCTACCAAGGAGGAACAGGAGGAGTTGGATCGGAAACTGGCTGTCCGGATATCGAGAGTCGAGAAAGATGTAAAGTAGATGATGCAGATGGAGGCGGGTACTCTCGGCTACGGTAATGGGGTTGGGGGTCTGGGTTGAGACGTCAGCAGCCCAACTTTTGGTTATCGCAGATGCAGTCCGCCTTGACCGGTTACTTTGAAACACCAATGGGCGTCGTTCACATGTTCTTGCGAGTTGAAGCTGGGGACGGGAATAGGCCAGAATAAAAATAGGCAGAAGCAGATAGGCGGCATTTGAGTCAGAAGGAGAGTTAGGCGAGTTGCAGCAGGAAGCAGGAAATGAGGGAGGGGGAGCAGATGCTCATTTCTTGTCGTGTGTCTAGCCTTGTCAGAAGTTTGTTGGCGGGACACAACATCCGGAGGCCGTTTCGTGGAACAGAATTTTCATGCATGCAATGTCGGGAGAAGTCTTGAGACGACTAGCTGACGAGCCCATGAAGAACCCAGAGAGTTGCGCTGGCAGTTAGCCGATGCTTGTAGGGGTCGAAGCAAGCAATTGAGCGAGTAAAGGGCGAAAGAAGGAAATGAGACAATTTCCACACAGCTCAGCGCAGGGTGATGTGACAGGGTATGATCTACGGAAAGAAAAAAGGTTTGTCTGGGACAGTATCTTCACCAGCTCGTAAAGGGGGCTGGCCATAAAAGACCAATGTTGACACGAAAAACAGCCTTGTCAGCACTCGACAGGGGGCCTCGCATGGCTGGTAGACTTTCTCTTTCCAGGGATTACAATCGACACTGGGACCATGGTCTCAGGTTCCGAGCAGAATCCAACGGAGTGAGATCAGCGACCCAGGATCATTTGACGTACAGACGAACATGGGGTCCCTATTGGACTCAGATACTGCTCGGCTATTGCATGCAAGACTCCGAAGGCTCCAATCTGCGACATCAACTGCTCCAGGAAGATGGGTGGGGCGGGTTGCATCCCATCGACTCGCCCGTGGGAAGAGTAGGGGGCGCGCATGGAAGTGGCAGCGACTGGAGTCCTGGCCGTTGAAAAGGGCAAGTCGACAAGTTTCATACATTGCGTTGGGCGCTGACGTTGGTGCGGTGAAACTGACGCAGATTGGATGCAACGGTTGCACAACGATCCGGAGAGTTGTCCAAAGGGACATTGCGGCGTTCTCGTTGGCCGCCCTCTACCAGACCGTACTTCTGTCGGTCAAAATTACCAGGCCTTCTGTGGCTTGCAAGGCTTGGGCCCCATCAGTTTTGCCCGGGTCATTCACCCCCTCCCTTGTACGACGTGCATGGTGGGCCATTCTAGGGAAGCCAATATTGCCTCAGCAATGCTTGGAGTATTTGGTAGCCATCGGGGACCCCGCCTGCGGGCATTACAGAGGTTGGAAACCACTGGAAAGGTGAAGCGTGTCCGGTTGGTGTGAGATGGTTTATCATTGCTTTGGTTCTGCATAGTCTATTGGGACGGACAATAATTCCACGCTGCCGAAATCTGTTGGGGGGTGGGGGCTGCTGCTTATGGCGCCTGGATGGTCGACGGAAGGAGACATGTTGTGTAGTATGGATTAAATGATTCTCGCGTTTCTTTTTCCCGATGAGATGGATGCAGATGCATCACTAGAGAGAGTGAGAGAGATAAGGTCCGGCAGATTAGAATTTATCGGGTCCGAAAGTACGGCGATGGTGTAGTCCTTGCAGGCTGATATTCAGACCAAAGGGAAAACAAGTGTCGGGTCAGGATGACTCCGGAACGTGCCGAGAAGCCCAAGGGTTTGGAAGGAGTGGCTCAACCAGACAGACGCGCCCGTCAGCGCTTGGAGCGAGTGGTCATCCCGCATGGAGATGGAGTTGTACCCGAAGGCTTGGAGGCTGGATATCCTGGATAGTACCCAGTAGGCTAGCTACACTTGCCGCCGCGATGGGGAGCATCGATGGGAGGCGCTAAAAGGGGAGAGAGCATGCACGCTCACTAACGAGATTTAATCAGCGGCCTAATGTATGCCCGGTCGATCATGGAACGCATTGGTGGGATGATCGTCGCGTTAGTTGCATCTTCCTTTTGACGTCGCTCGAGTGCCGTCACCTGCAGCCATGGAAGGACCAGGGACTTCTGACGTGGGGGGCGACAATATGGGGCCCAAGGGAAAAAAGGCGGGAAGCAACAGAGAGACATGGATGAGATGAGATGTGATGTTGAGGTGGACACCGGCTGATGAGGTTCGCAGGAAGAGCCATGCTCAGGGGACAATTACCTACTCTACCCGGGGCACCTTGGCGTGCTGTATGTATAGATAGTAGTGGATGAACTGGCTACCAAGCTAGCAAGTCAGGAGTGAGCTCACCTAATAGATCGATAGGTAGATAGTTAGTTTGTGACTAGGCAGTAGTCAAGAGCAGGAGCTAGTCAGTTAGTCTGCTGTCTAGTGAGGAGGAGTAGTGAGAAAGACAGACAGACAGACAGACAAGCAGCCAGGATGGTGCCGGTGAGGCGGAAAAAGGATCCCCTTTCCCTTCCGGCATATCGACAACAAAGGAAAAGCCGCGGGAAAAAGGAGAAGGAGTGATTGGCCCTATCTTCTTTCCCTTTTCTCTCTCCATTGCTTCTAGCATGGGTGTCTGTTATTGCAGTCTATTATTCTTTGGTTCTTCATTCATTCCTGCTGAGTTTGGCAACGTAAGTGGGCGGGAGGAAGTACAGGAGAGGGAGTACTATGTGAGTTTCTGGAGTAGTAAGTATGTATGGAGCAACCAGCAACCAGCAAGTGGAAGTAGAAGTAAGTAAGTGTGTGTTGGTTGATTTGGTTTCGGGCAAGCGCGTCTGTACGGTAAGTTGGTAGTACGTATCAGTAGTTACCGAGAGTAACTCCACCCCCAGGAAATCTTTCCCCGTAAACTAGAAAATTAAAAAAACTAAACTAAAAACTAAAACTAACCGTAAACTAAACGATCGATTCCCATCCATCGATCTTCCGTCACAACAATCATCCACCCACTAACTACTAGTAACTTACTTACTACCACAAACTAGTAGTAGTGTATGTACCTATCGGGCATGTCTGCCACCAAATTACTTACTGGGAATTAACCCCCACCCCCCTCCTCAATGGCTGTCGGTGACCGACCGCCAAACTCGGCAACAACAAATGAAAGGATGGGGCTTCGGTCCCTTCGTCGATCTTCCCTCGTCATCTGGCCTGAGATCCGGGCGGCTCGGGGTCGTTAATGGCTTGTTCTCTCTGTCTCTCACTCTCCCTCTCACACACCTCCCCTAACCACCACCACCACCACCACCACCAATTCCCTCCTCACACAGCTTCCCCCCCACCCTCCCTGATCCTCTCCCTGACCTCCATTCAAATAGGTAAATACATGTCCTTGGGTTTACCGCGGAATTTGCCACGGCTGTGAGCTAGAAGCATGATGATGATCATCTACTAATCTTGGTACTATCGATCATCTATCAATTACGGCATACTGCATAACTAGAAGTCTCGGATCTCAATCCGTTGTCCCTTATCCGGCTCCCCTCCCTCTCTCTCACACACACTCTCTCTTCCCCTCTCTTTCATTGATTCATTGGCAATTCATGTTATCTGTACGTTCAATTCCTATTTAGGAATGATATGAGAGATCCGCTTCGTTGGGTTTCTTCGTACCCTTCCATATTGCTTTTTCCGTGCATGGGATTCTGGTTCTGGTTTCAAGACACCCCCCCCTCTCCGCATGCAGCGAACAGGGTTAGTTAGTTGAGATTGGATTGACTTGACAGCGGCATACCTGGCTGGACCAAGTAGGGCAGCATATCGGAGAAAATTCTACCCCGGCAGTAACCAATTATTACCCCCTCCTGGCGAACTATAATCCTTCTCCCTGGCAGGCTGGGTCTCGCATGCGAATTATTACTATCTTCGTTCGCCGGTTTCTCGAATGGTCCTGAAATTCTCCACTATGCGAGAGACACTCGGTTTTAGCCTTACTGTTGGTTCGTAATTCTAAAACGAAGTTTCTTTAGTAGTTTGTTTTAGCATCAAAATATTAATAAGTCCAAAATCATAGTAAATAGTATTTATGTTTTCTTTTTCGCCTTTCTGGAAAAAGGAAAATTCAACTCTCGTCTACATGTAGAAACTCAGATATTTTGGGCCCCGTCTGTTGTAAACGGGGAATGGAAGTAATGCATCATCCCTTTGGTCCTTCCGGAGGCAGCATCAATAGGGGGTTGCGATGGGAGGGGGAGGAGAGAGAAGGAAATTGACAGGCTGGAGACAAGAAAGAAAAAAAATAAGTGGGGCGAAGGAAAAGCAAAGGGAATGAAACAAGCCCCGGTGCACAAGGATCCCAAAAGGGGTTGTCACCGTGGTAATGCAATTTCAACTTTCTTTCAACATGGGAGAGAGGGCAGGTCAGCTCAGCTTCGCAGTCTATAAGCACGCATAAGTCATCGGATGTCCGTCGAATGCAACCAACGCATTTCGGCAAACGTAGGGTGAGGCGCTCGGGACAGAAGAACTTCATCTGGGGCAAATCTTTTCTGCTTCATGAACAGGTAATATGAGAAACTGGAAGGAAAGCTTTCCAAAAGCGTCTGGATCACGAAGAGAGAGAATAGGAGGAAAGGAAGTAAGAAAAGATATAAGAAAAAAATAAGTAGGGAAATAAAAGAGATGACAAAAAGATAATAGAAACTAGAGAATGTAAACATAAGTGAGAAAAGGAAAAGACAACGACGGACACACACACATAACACAAGAGATGTGCATGAAAAGTTCGCAAGGGTTGAGATGGTAAGGAAAATTCCAGAGACCTGCTAAGCGCACAGACTTTGGGAGTTGGTAAATCGACCATAAGAGCTCCCATCAGCGGTGCGAGTCGAATAGACGGGGTCAAAGCCACTACTACTAGAGTGCTGGTACAGGTGAGAAGCTAGCCGAGGGGGTTGTTTCAGGTAATGCGGAGGTTCATGCTGATCATTATTCGTCACCATAGAGACCATCGACTCAAATGGTTGGGGAAATGCATGGCCGGTCTCTTCGCTGGTTTTGGATACGGATTCGTACTCGAATGAGGGATGTGGATGGCGGTAATGGCTTGCCGGCTTTCGGTTGTTCATAACGCTATAGTTAGAGTCCTGATAGGTATCCATGCTGGACGAGCTTTTCATCGAGTCCATCGGATCCATAGTGTTATCATTCATGAGTCCAATATCAAACGCCGATGACGAGGATGACGATATGTGTGGACTCTCGCTTAGCGGTGACTGGTCTGGCGCGGTCATTTGATGGTAATCTGTTCGACCGTAATGTGGCCCACCGCGCTGAGAAGAGTCGTACGGCATGAGGGCCAAGTGAGACCGTGCACCTGCTCCTAATCCTGGGGGGAGGACAGCCCCTCCACTTCCATCACCGGAGCCACCGCTCCCTCCATCGGGGCCCATGCTGGTCGAACTATCGCGGCGGCCGTCTTTGTAATGGCCCGGGGAGCGACCCCGGACTACCATTGGATGCGAAAGTCGCCTGGCAATTCTGACCCATTGGGTATCGGTACCTGGAACCGAACTGGCGACCTCAGCATAGAGCTCAACGACTAGGTTATAGTACTGCTGCTGGGCTCGCCGTTTTCCATTGTTCGCCGTTGCCTTCTGGAACTGAATTCGCTCAAACGTGTGCTGGGTTGGCGGCTGTGAAGGCTGGCTCGCTCCTGGGTAACCACCGAAATCCAGCGATAACCCAGCCGACTGTGAGGCCAACGAAAACCCATGCTGGCTGCTGTTTGGTGATGCTCCATGACCCAGAACCAAGGGCGTAGGTTGAGAGGGTTGCAATATGACCTTTCCCGGTTTTCTTTCCGATTGCTTGTCCCGTTTGGGGGTGTGTTGAACCAATTCCCGAACTTCCCCGACTTGTTGGTTCACTACGGCGGAAATTGACATGGCAAATCTTGTAATGCGTTCTGGCCCATGCTCCGACAATTTCACGTATAGTGGAGCGTTTGACCACGGCTGCAACGTAAACGAACATGAGACTGAGAAATAATTGCGTCTATAGCACGTCCACTTGTCATCGACCTGGAAGAAACCCTTATGTATCTTGGCTTGTATCTCAGGAGTGATGGTTTGAGCTCCGGAGACGACCGGTTGAATCACCATAGTTTCGCCAAAAGGAGGAGCATCGGCAACTGGCTGGGGCAAACGTTGCTGGACGGCGTCCATCAACATAGTCCCCGACCCAATATACACGCTCGAAGGTCGATCCATAGTGCCCTCGATGACACCTCGAGGGGTTGTTCCAAAGGGTGTGATCCTATTGATTTCCCCAAGACCTGTCAAAGGTCCTTGGAACGGTCCTCGATGGAGTGTGTATGCTCCCGGATACCCATCATTTCGCCCCATAATGGAGGTACTTCCAGAGACGCTTGTCCCCTGCGATTGCAGACTGGGTGACATGTTGGCGGGCGGCTGACTGTACAGGTCCCAAAGTTTTCTTATCAATCGGTGCATGTCAACAAAGAACCAAAGATTGAGACACACTTACAGTGGGGGCACCCGATGGGATCTGTAATCCGACATTCTATCGTATGACATTCCTGAAGAATGTGTATACAGTGAGTTCGATGAAGGAGAGAATGTTTCTGTGAAGCACCGCACCATATTGATGTAAGGCGCATGTTAGCCGATGACAGGGAACCGAGAGATAAAGGGAAACGAACCAGAGCATGTGTCAGTAGGGCTCATGAGAATGGAGGTAGGAGACGTCGGAAAGCTAGAAGAACAGACCCAGGTCAGTAAGTTGTTGCATCTGCTGGGTTATTGCCGAAAATAATCGTCGAGGATGACAGCAGAAGGAAAACAAGATATAGAACGCTTGGATCCCAACGCATCACGACCATACGGCATGTATAAATGAACCAGCGACGAGCTGTGCGGCCATCATTTGCGAGAGGATATGCTAAAGATTCGGTAATGCGACCAGGGAGCAGCAGGTAGACGCATGCAAGCAGCAGTTTGGTATAGACCATTGAGGACGGCACTTTGACATAAAAAAAAAAAATAAGGAAGTAGGAATAAAATGAAATTCAAAAAGAAAGAAGGGAGCAGTGACGAAAATGGATGATGAGAAATAGGCGCTCAACACGGAAAAGAATGGAAAAAGGAAAAGGGAAAAAAGAAAAAAAAGGGAAACAACATCAAAAAAGGAAAATAAGAAATGAAAATGAAATAAAGCCACTCAACACCCCCCCAGACCTAAAGTGACTGAATTTGAAATATTCAGGAATAATCAAGATTGCCATCAACATCATTATTATCAACAGCACACGACAAAATCATGTTGATAATAATTAAGGGTGGGGGGTAGGAGGCGGAAAAAAAAAAAAAAAAAAGGAAAAAGAATAATAGAAAAGGAATAGCAATAATAATCATAATTATAATAATAATAAGAGCAAAAATAATAAAGAATAATAAATCAATCGAGGGCGTTGGGCCAACTATTCAGGTTGTTCGGACTAGAAGGGAGAAGCTGTGACTAGTGGCTGCAAGCGGGCCAAGTGGAGCACAAGGGCAGTCCGAATTGAAAGACAACTTACGGTACCTCCTGCATCGCAGGCTGCTGTGTGTTGTATCGCAGGCCGTTGGTAGCTGGTATTGACACTGGCTGCGCCAGCGGGTGGCCAACAGCACCGCCCCTTCGGGTATTTTCCTCTTCATCCATGGAAAAGCCTGTCGAACTCGAAAATGGTCGTGATGTCCCTGTATAGTCCCCGTCGGTGTTTATCGGGCCGTCCAGTGGAAAGGTGCTTTGCAGAAGCGTTGCTAAGAAAGAGCTCATGATTAGATCGCATTGCCAGGTCCCATTCGGTAGCGAGTAGATCCACAGCGCAATACTGGAGAGAAGAAAAAACAGAATTGGATGACGAGAATATCATAGGGATGCACCAAGAACAATGCGAGGAAATAAGGAAGCCGGAAGGAACGAAAAAGAAAGGACACAAATTATCTGATCAGCCCGGTATGAAATAGGGACCCCCATCCCTGTCGACCAAGGAAGCAGTATTTCCTGATGTCATTATAATACCAGAGGAACGGAGCGCCTGAAATGGTGTAACCGAGTAGAAGAGCTTGAGATGCGAAAAGGAAGAAATAAACGTCACCCCGGATGTAGATCGCCTGTCAGAAGCAAATCGCAACTGGGTCACGAGTGCAAAGCCCGCTCCTCAAATCGTATCTTGGAAAGACTGGCGGTAATAAAGAAAACCATACCCGTGACAAAAACCCAGTTCCCAACGGTACTAACAAGAAATGAGCCCACTTACAGTGATTCATTTGCAACCTTGCGACAGTCAACTAGCAAACTGCCGTTAAAACGAATTTCAAGACAAGGTAGATCAGTAAATCAGGGTATCTTGGCTTAGCAAGCTAGACGCAGGAGACCGATTCGCGTCTGGGACCCTTGGAATCAACGCAAACTAAAGCACTAAAAGTACGCCCGGCGAGCGCTAGGCTTGGGCGGCGCCCAACAGGGGTACGCTAGAAGCTGAAAAGGCGATAGCTAGCGAAAGGTGTTAGTGAAGTATCCTGTTGGTCTTACAACCGCGCGCCTCGACATACACTATCGCTCTTATTCGGAGGTATTAGAAATGGCGAGATCCCTGGTATAGCGACGCGATTCTATAACACCGTCAGTGACTCAACCAACCGCTGAAAGGAAATCAACACAGGAGATTATGGACCTTTCCAAATCCCCGAGGATGACAAAGGTCGACTAGTGCTCGAAGTAAATCTGCTTCGAAGATATTGTGGCTGATCAGATATTCGATCCCACTGAGGTAGACGACATGTTCATGTAAAAGGGGCGACAGAGAGGGGCGAACGGAACTAATCTGGGGAAGAAAAGAAGAGCCAAACAAAAAAGGAAATTCCGTGGATTTAGAAAGGGAAAGAAAAAAAAAAAAAAGAAAACATAGAAGCATCCGTAGATGATTGTGCTCAGCGTTCCATGTTCGCCACGGCAGCCATGACGGAAAGGATCTCTCAACGGCTTGCTAGGTAAATCTTACAATAGAGGCAGAATGTATCAAGTGCTGTCAAGGCATAAGCTTACCCACACCACGGTGCAGTAATCGGTGGTAAGTGGCTTGGCTGAACAAAAGATGTAGGGCTTAGAACAATAACCATGGAAGGATCAAGTGGTAGCCGAAGCATTTCAGACAACGGAATAGTGATGGGAGCACTCAACAAGGCACAAGAAGAAGAAAGAAAGCAATGAATGTGGATGGAGTCAGAAGGAAGACAAGGACAGGGAGAAGATAGAGATGCATGTGCCATAGAGTTATTGTTGGTGCAGAATCCTGAATTTTATAAGTGGAATAGACTCACATGTATCAATTGGCAGATGACGAGCAAGTTGAGTCAAGAATGAGGAAGGTTATTTTGCATCTATCACTGCAGCTTCCAATTTTGAGATGCAACCCTATATGTATGTATATCGGTTATCTCAATGTTCCGCTTGTCCACGTCAAGGAGATAACTATTGGGCTCAGGGCTCCAATTTGGCCTCTCGGTGGATTAATCAGGAATTTTGACAAAGAAATTGGAGAATTGAGTCGCAGAGGACTGTTAGCCGCCGTGCAGGACGAGCAGTTGACTGGTAAAAATTCCCTGGACCGGTAGTCGAGGGATCTGGTCGCTTGATATCTGTTTCCCGGTGTTGGATGAAAAACCACTTCCTTCATGTCATGGTATTTTCTCCTGCCCACACCAACACGACGCCCACTTTCTCCGCTGTCTACCTAGCCTGGCCCCTTTACGGTGACCAATGAGCGATCCTGGTAAGATGCGGCGGAAATGTCTGCAGAAGCTCGTTGTGCACAAGCCCTGGGAGCTTCAGGTTGCCAATTTAAGCTTGAAAGCGAATACCACTTTCGCCACGAGTTTGCTGTTGAGTTTAGTCGAGGCCAGGGTCAAAGACATTTGTTGTTTCCGATCCATGACTGAACAGAAGAAAAAGAAAAGAAACGGACTACAATGCGTGCTGCCTTTGGGATACGCTTGCGCGAATAGAAAAGGCGCTCTTTTGTTTTTCTTCCGTTTTCCATTTTCGTCCCTTCGGCACACTCCCCCCTCCCCCATTTATTTCCCAGAAAACAATATGCTTCACCTTTTTTTTTTTTTTTTTCTTTCTTTTCTTTTTATTGTTAATTTTTCTTCTTATTTCATTTTCTCTCTATTTGGATTTTTTTTTAATTGTATTAGTGGGTGGAGTGAGCAATTGCCTTCCTGGCTGATAATGGGTGTATCAACTAAAATGGCGCGAAAGGGATAAAAAAGAGTTTGGGACCCTGTCGAAACCGTTGGAGAGACACGGCATTCGTTGAAATCCATGTTACATCCCCATGGTCCACGTCTAGGCAGATTTCAAGGCTGCACAAACTCAAGAGCAGAATGGAGACCAACTTGGACATGGTTCAGCTGGCGGCGTGATTGGTGAACTGTCCATACTCCATACAGAACATCACCGGCAAAGTCAGCTGTCCTTAGTGTGAACACCCGGCGAACGGCAAAGTGCAGCAAAACAAATTAGAATGGTGCTAGAACGGATTAGTAGCGACGATCATCACTCCGGGAATCGTGCAGACCCCAGTCGCATGATGGAGACTGTTGATAACTACTGAGCTTGGGCAGATGCAGACAACCAATAGCTTTCAAGGCCATTGACGAACGGTCGATGTACTCCGTAAAAAATTGTACAGTCCCAGACAGGGGCCTGTGGACCCAAAAAAAGAATCCATGTTCTAGGCATGAGCTCCGGCCTTGGATGCTCTCAAGAGGATCTCGGGTGCTTGAGGCACGAGCAGCAGTAGCTCTTGCATGAATGAGAGATCAGGCGATCGACATGTTCGATCCAACGGTTGTTTTATTTCATTATTGTCAATTTAGTTTTATTTTTTTATATTTTTCTTTCTTGTTACCGTATGGTGGTTTGTTCACTCACCGACATGGGCTTGAACAATTTGGAAACGACTCGAATCCAAAATGCGGCCGATACAAAGAGCAGTGTGTAGTCATGACCCGCCCCATACACACTAATCGGTTGGAACTTTTGGCTGTACTAGTAATAGTTAGGGAATATGCTCCAGCAACAATAATACCTTCTTCCAGTCACACCACCCTTGCCAGTACGGAGAAAGTAACATTTGCTGTACGGAGCACACGGCAATGTTTTCTAGAATCGAGAAGAGGCACTGATTGGTGAGAGGGCAAAGGAGACCGCCGAACCTGAAGCGGGAAAAAATACTTAGTAGGTTAAGTAGTGGTCTCTGGTATCCCAGCCAGTGGGGGTGGGCGTAAGTGTCTTCTTTCTCGCTTCTTTTCTTTTTCTTTCCTTAATTTTAATTAGTTTTGTGTTTTCCCCTTTTCCTTTTTCCTCTTATTTTCTGGCATCTTTTCCTTATCCGGTGAAGGATTATTATGTGGCTGCATGATCATCCAGGCTCGCAGGAAGCTAGTTGGTTGAGATGTGATATGCACCGTGCTGAAAAAAGTAGCCAAGGATGTATAATTGGTGGAGACCAAGTGCTGGGGTTTTAATTGAGAGCCATTTGTTGGAGGCCTGTATAAGGAAGGGTATGGGGTCCCTAATGGAGGGAGGGCGAATGTCGTGCAGGATGTGTCCGCGGGATGCGGCGCGAATCCCATAGTAACCTTGAACCAGGGGGGGCGAGAGACGGAGGTTGCATTTCAAGCCAGGGTAAGCCCCATTAGCCCGTTGAATGGAGCCTGTCGGCGGGTTGAAGTCCAAGGGTAGGGCGTCAAAGACCCATGAGATTCAAATTTCTCACTAGAAAGGACATTGCTGATCGGTCATGATGAATGAGATGATGATGATATCGACAAAGGGGCGAATTTTCTCCTGAAAGATCAGAAACAGTGAAAAGACAGTCCTCGAACTGGATCCTTTTCCAGATGGTAAACATCTTGGGAATTTGTTTGTGGAGTTGCTTGTTTTCCCTGCTTTTTCTTTCCCCTTTGAATTTCGTGCGCCTGGTTCGGCGGAGACACACCAAAACATGAATCGGGATCCGCATCGTGACGCTAAACCCAACCCGACCGAAGGCACGTGCCCCGCATGGGGTCATCCCCAAAGAGTATAGCGGCATACCTGCATGGACCTTCTTCTTACAACAACAATTCAGCCTTCGACCATCCACCCCGTTATCGTCCCTGTCCTTGTCTCCTCCATCCCATCCATCCATTTCTTTTTTGATTTATATATTTAATTGTTATGGTATTCAACTGACTAGTAGCCTTGCCGTTGGCACCGTCAGAAAAAACCTTGTTCAGGCAACGGTCCTCGTCATGGCCTTTCGTCTATTATTGGCATGTCCAGATAGATGCCCTCCACGATGGCCGCCTACACAATAGCAAAAGTTTATTGCTTGCTGTCTTGGCCGCCATTCACAGCTCGATCTAGAGTCCACTAATACCCGTGGGGACTGATTAGCGAATCACAGAGTATCATCTTATGGAGACACAGTTACCGTGACTCGTGGGAAGCAAGCCTACTCCTACTCCGAAGAAACCTTTCTCCACTACCGATGTCCGTAGTGAGTAAACTTCTTTAACTAATTCCTTTTTCTTTGTCTCAACTGGCCCCAGCCTTTCCTTGGTTAAGAGAGGCCCGTCCGCCCGGAAACCCGTCCATATTAGAGTTCGAACAAGGTCCCATTCAAGACCGTGGCTTCTAGCCTATCCGGGAATGTGTTGGACCTGTCCTAGGGTTGCCCGTGCTAACATTTTGTGCAGATGGAGTACTTCCGATTGACTCGCATCTTCAGTGTTCCAGGAGCAATAGCTGCGATACGCTCTTCTCTTCACCTGCTGACTTTTTCTACCCGCACTGGTGGTGGCTGATACCCTCTGCGGACGGCACTCCTGTACGACAGTCAAATAATTACCTTTATAAGCCATAATCGAGCTAAGGGACAGCCATGGCATGCTCTCATCTGCAACTGGCCGATATTACGGTTTGGACCATCAAGATAGTCCGCACATCGGTTGTCATGCCAATCAAGGCAGCTGAGCTCATCTAGAGTCCAGAACAATCGGCTTTAATTTCCGGGACCCCCTAATGTTCCCACGTTTGAATGAGTCCTTGGCAGGCTTTTAGTGCCCCAGCTTCAGCTGCCCGACGAAGTGTGATTTCCACTTTACATCTGGCCCCATTTATTCAATTATTTTTAACGGACCATCATATCGAGAAGATGATCTCGACAAGGTCAACCGCTTCCCTCATGCTAATGTACAGGTACAGGATAAACCTGATAGATACGATCGTTCTTGGCGTCCCAAAGCACAAGCGGTCCAATATATTCTCATGAACTACTATAATGGGAGCACAAATATCACTGCAACGCGTGTCATAGCCGATAACTTGCGCTAAAAACGCTGTAGCCTCGGACCCGAAAGTATTGGATGCGGTCTGCATAGACTCTGGTCAGCCACTTGTACGATTTCCCAATTGCCATCAACTAGGATTCTTTGTCAAGGCAGGGTCAGGTGTAGTCTTGTTGTAAGGCACCCTTTGCTTGGTGAGTATAGCTCTCTTTGGTCTTGCCACCACCTGTAGTGAAAGGACGGCCTCCGGCCACTTTCTGCTTTATTGATATTGCCCTGCACCTTGTCAGCTACAAGGGCTTTCGTTTCTAATTTCCGCAATATGACTCTTTCTCACCAATTGCAATATGCATCTGGTTGTTCGACAAAGCGCGCTATAACTACGAATAGGCCTGCAACTTTTTCTTTGGGCGCGCCCGCAAGCCGGCGCATCTTTACTACATCCATCCTGTCTGTGCAACTTCTTAGGCTATTAGTCAGTCGATCAATTGTCTATGCTGATGTCTATCATCGGTGCATAGTACAGCCCGGTTTCAATATTGATGCGAGTGGTGCTGGGATACACTGAATAGTGACGCCCTATCTTTCCCGATCCCTTTTGCCAGTCCATGGCGGTAAGGCTTTACAGGTAAGCTGTATACTCTTCTCAGGTCATGACTGACGTGTTCCTAGCCTCAGTAGTATCCCCTGTTATGCAGCGTACGGAGAGCGGCACGAATAAATCTAGCAACGAAAAAGAACCGAGAAAGTCGCCGGTGGCTGCGAGGCATATACCTGCATGGAGTCTGATGATGGACCAGTCATAAAACCCGATGCGCCAAAGAAAACGAGATGAAGGGCGGCCGTCATGCCTGATTGAGCGGTAGTGGCAATGGTGACGTTGATGGAGCTTTAGCCAACGGACTGGCATGTCCAAGTGCACGAGGACACAGAGCGGGCAGTGGGATCCCATCTGCCAGTCTTGTACGCTCTTCGAGTCGCACAGAATGAAGCCAGAGGGTCTGTCTCAGAGCCAAGAAAGGCTAGTTTCAGGACTTGCTGGATACGTCCCCCCAACGATACACAAAACCATTGTTAACAACTTCCCGTTCCATACCCGTTTTCATGCAATGTAACCAGCCATCTGGACACACAGCACCATTCACAATCCTTCCGAGCAGCGAATACTCCGGGCTGTGAACGAAGATTACACGAAACCGAATTGATTTGATTGAATATCGAAAGCCACTGGCCTGGCGCCACGCTCTGAATAGTCCCGTGCATCCACTCGTATGCTGGAAGATGTCCTCTGTGGCCCGGGGGTCATGGCGGCTCGATATCGATCTCACATCTGGTCATGCTCTCCATACAAGGCGGAATCGTCTACTCGAGAAGTGCGTCGTCCCGCTTGCCATGCCGATTTACTTCCCTAGATAGACATACATGCAGAGCTGCCTTGCCGATGACACTCATGACGAAGCTCATGCAAACACAGTATCAGCCAGCAGCCTTCCACCTTTACCGAACGACAACACAGCCTCCCTTCGCAATTGTCATGACCAATATCTCAGCATCCCCGGCGTTCATAGACAGCTAGCAGTTGACCCCCGGACCATCTACAGACTGCCCATGATCTTGGCTCGTTGGTCCGCACTCTGTAGACCCATGGTCGTTATTCACCATGCAGCTCGTCTCTGCAAAGCCTGATCAGTACAGTCAATGCTGCCTTGTCACGTCCCGAGTGGCTCAAGTCTAGGCCTTTCTGACACATGCCGCCAAATCATAGAAGCTTGTCAGCTAATACGCATTGAGTCATCATAGCAAGGATCTAATAACCAACTACCCGATACATACCAAGCAGGAGGCTCTTCAATGTCTACCCTCTGATTGAGATGTAGACCCCAGCCAGGCTGTCGATACTTGACGGACGATGATACGGGAGCATTACCCCAATAACCAATAAAACCAGTTCCTCCCCGTCCTAGAACCTGGACAGTACTACTACTTAGGTTCCCAAGTAAGCAGGACCGAACCTTTTTACTTAATTACTCTATTACACTCTATGTAGTGTGACTCCAACGAACAAATTGAAATACTTTTGTTTTCGGGTTTGAACCTTCTCCCTCGATCTAAGAATACTTCCACCCGCGATCGATCAATGCACGGAAAAGTAAAAAAGAAAAAGAGGAGCATGCAAACAAGCAAGTAAGCTTGCCTTGCCTTGCCTTGCCTTGCAACTCAGCATGACAAATAGACACATTGAACCGGAAGAGAGTAGTGCGCGAATAAGGAAAAGAAAGACCAGACCACGCTGCTTTTCTCTGTATCAAATCGACCTCAAAAAAGCAAAGAGAAGACGACACACACACACTCACACACGCACGACACATTGGGATGCCTTTTGTTCTTCAGTAATCATCATTATCGATCGGATCATACAATACAAAGAAAAGTAGTCAATAGATGAGAGATGAAGATCTTCTTCAGCCATGGAAAGTGTGGATGGATGGAGAAACCCGCCTGCCTGACGAAAAGAGACCCAAGGGTGTCATGTCATGATACGTACGGAAAAAACCAAAAAGCAAGAGAAGAAGTTAATAAGGAGGAGAATAAAGTGTGGGAAGAGAAAAAATGGGAATTGGAAATTTGGAGGAGAAAATCTAAGTGGCACGCTTGGCGAATTCGACGCGCAGGATAAGGTGACGGTAACCGACTAGATGAAGAGGAAATATTAGTTGCGATTCCGATAACTTGCTTTGTTGCTGACATTGCAACGATGGCAATGGAAAAAACAAATATGACGCAGGAAAAAAAAAAGGAAATGAATGAAGTGGAGGAATAACTTACAGCCATCCATCTTGTCGCAAGCACGTGCAGCATCGTCCCGATCCGCAAAGCTGATGAAAGCGAAGCCCTTGGCTCTCTGGGTTTCTCTGTCTCTGGCAAGGAAAACTCTGGTGACACGACCGAAGCGTTCGAACAGATCCCGCAGTTCTCCTTCCTCTGCCAACTCGCTCACCTGTTTGGGTTTGTTGTCAGTCAGTGATGTGTCCGTGGGAATCCAAATGCAATAGAAGCAAGGAAAGTAGAGGAAGCCGATTGCTGTTCTCATGACATCCATGTGTCTGCCCGAAAGGGCTGCTTCCTCTTTCTCTCTTTCCCTCTCTCAAAACAACACCAATAGGAGTGTTTAGAGGGGAAAGAGAGGGCAGAGCAGGCAAGGAAAAGGAGAGAGAGAAGAACAGAAGGAGGAAAACTAGCATCCCCTGTCCCCTCCCCCCCTCCCCCCCCTCCCCCTCCGGGGAGACCAGCAAATAGCAAAACAGTGTCCAGTAAAACCAGAGACAAGGGTGAGGTAATTGGGGAAAACTCACGTTCGTAACTCTCAGAGTCGCCAAATCATCCTTCTCATACTTGCCAGCCATTCTCTCTCCGCCACCAGCAGCACCCTTCCGCAGATGAGGGGGCACGTAGCTAGAAGTACCAGCACCCAGAGCGCCAGCAGCCGGAGAATCCTCAGCACCACCCTCACCACCAGCAGAGGGCTCGTCGACAGGAGCCATAGTATCCTTGAAGGGACAACGAGCAGTAAAGTGCTCGCCACTGCAAATACGACACTTGACCTTCTTGTCCTTCAGCTGATCCTTCATACTGCCCTTCTCGCCACCATTCTTCTCCGCCTCGGCCGCCTGAACCTTCCAGTTGACGCTGGGCCGGAAAGCAATGTTCTCACCCACGGAGGTCGTATCGAAGGAAGGTCCGGGCGCGTTGCCCTTCTCCAGACCGAACTTGGCCCAGGACCTCCGCTCCGCGACCTGAGGGTTGACATGTTCGCGAACAACGGTCGTTTTGATCCGGCGGGTCACCTTCACCTTCTTGCCTTCGTCGTTGAATCGGTAGGAGACGATCGTCTTCGTGCCATCTTTGTTGGTCGTGATTTGCTGCGGGGGGAGAGCGGACGGGTCGTCGAACTCCTCGTCGTCGGCCCAGTCGGCGCGGCTGGAAAGTGGAAAAACAGTCCTGGTCAGATTTTCTTTCTTTTCGTTGTCTTCTTTTTTTTGTCGCTTCTTGACCCTAGATTTTCGGGGGTTGGGGGGGAGTTTCCGCTTACTTTCCAAGCTTCGACATTGTGTGTGTGATGGGGGGGTTGATGATGTCGCCGATTGTTGCTGAATTTCTGGATTTCAGCGAAAGATGCAAGATCCGTTGTGGATTTGTTCGGCGCGGCAAATGCCTTGTGGCGCATGTTAAGTGTGGCTGGTGCTTCGGTGCCTGGGTCACGTGATAGATAGGGTGATGGCTACGGTTGGTATGCATGCACCGAACATCTTTCTACTATAAGACGGTTTTTTAATTTTATTTTCTTTTCTTTAGATTTAGATGCATATTAGACGGCCTATTAAATGAAGATCTGCCTCAATGCTATCACGTTTCCCACTGCCAGAACAAATCAAGATGACAACGCCCAGACGCATGTTAACCCTTCCCCTTTCCGCCTTGCTTGTAAATACCATGGCCGACGAGTGGCTATCCTGGTCACTATGATTGTTCAGACCAGATCCAATCCAAATGTTTAGAAGCTTCACGTTTAGACGTAGTCCACTTTGACGCTTCCATAGTTGCGACCTTCATACCAGAGTGTGTAGACACAGTGAGCGGAATAATACACCGCGTGGATTTCGTATTGGACGACGTAGTATAGCTCATTGTCTGCACCGCGTTCAATTGGGATGCGTTCCTTTTCAATGACACCGAGACTTGGGTTCAATGTGGCATGTTGCTTCACGCCTAAGAATAGCATAGTCAATAATCCGTAATCAACCATTTTCAGCTGTGCGAGAGGACTCACGGCGATTGAAATACAAAGGTGGCTTTTCACCTATAGCAGTATTCACTTTGTATAGGCTGACCCTAATTGAGTCGAAAGCGCCATCTTTGACCCGTCTACGTTTGATCCATGTTGTTTTGATGGCCTTCGCTTCTTCCATGTCATCCCCCTGAATAGTACGTCGTTAGCGTTTATATATTGACTTGAGAATCATTCCATACCTTGCGAACAAACCATCTCATAACATCAATATAATACTCACCATAAAAGTAACTCCAGTATCTAGATGCGATGGTCTTCAGTTAGCCCCAAGATTGTAAGAGTTGACCCGATCGCACAAGGAGGATTGTTGCTACTTACTTCTTCTTCTCATCATGCACCCCATGAATGAATTCGGTCTGGTACGTTGTCCCATAATTTTCCCTGGCCTTGCGGGATTCTATGAAAGTCTTTGCCGTTGTGTCGGAAATATCCCCAAGAGTCTTTGCCAACGCGCCCCTAACGACAGCAGTCCAGCCGTCGACTGGTGCTATCACTTGCACGCCTGGAGAGAAGCAGTCACGAAGATGTTTGCGAAGGTATGGACTCTGTCCAAACCCTCCAACCAACAAAACTGCTTTCACCTCTGCACGAGAAGTCTGGATTTGCTCACGGACAAGTTTCTCAATATCTCGTATAGTAGGTAAGAATAGTTTTTGCATCTCTTTTCCAGTAACGCGAATTCGGCCGCGACGGACCCCGAGTTCCGGGTCGTCTGCTATACCTGGCACAGGAAACATAAAGTCGTGATCAGTGCTTCCCTCGAATGTTCTTTTCACGACACTTTCAAAACGCTGCATTGCCTCGTCTAGCGTGTCCCTGCCCCATCCCGGGAGCTGGGAAAAGCGATCGTCCAGCAACTTTTCGAAGCTCCTATTGAGAAACGTGCTGCCACACATGGATCCAGTACCCGGAGCTTCTTCTCTTAGACGCAGATAGGGTTCAAGCCCAGTAATCATGAACGTAATAAGATCTACTGTGCCGCCACCCGCATCACAGAGGACAAACGTATCTCCAATATCCGCCAAAGGGTGTCCAGGAGCACGTAGCGAATGTATGGCGGCAGCTTCAGGCTCAGATATAATGTGTATCGTAGACATGTCTCCAAAGCCCGCTTTTTCTGCGCACGAGAGCGTTGACATTTTCGCTTTATCTGGCCACATTGCTGGGACTGTGATAACAAATTCGAGGTTTGTACTGTCCACTGAGCTACCAAGTCTCAATTTCAAAATTTTAACTGCATGTTTACGTAGGGAACGAAGGTAGTCTGTAACGACCTTCTCAGGTGATGAAAAGCAGGGAATAGGCATTCGGCGGCAATCACTGTGTGTCGAAGACGGTCTTGATCCTTCCCCAAGATCAAGATCAGGAACAAGTTCGAGTTTGAACCACTGAATCCGTGGCGTTTCATCCAGGATTTGAAAGCCCCATAGACATTTCTTCTTCCCGTGCTGAGGATAATCATACCTGACTTCGCTGGGTACTTTTTCGCTGGTCAATCCACCACATGAGTCAGAGCCATATTGCGGCCATTCCGTGATTATGTGGTGATTATCAGGCTGGGAAAGGCATCAGTATATCTTCCAATAATGGAGTTGCGATCCACGCACGTTACTCATTTGAGCCCAGGCTATCCCAGAGTAGGTGGTGCCAAAGTCCACCGCAATGACTATGGTCCTTTTACTGGAAGAACTGGCCATGTCTCTTGTGTTCTTCTGTTTGCCGCTTTTATAATCGTTGCAAGGAACCTGATGCTTATGATAGGAGAGCCTCAACTTCAGTAAGCCGATCCAATAGCACTTGTCTGTGAGACACCTCTGTGTGGAAGTATCGTAAGGTAAGTATAAATGATCAGCGATCTCTCAAGGGAGGAATCCGTCATGTAACTCTCGCTTATGCCTCACTCGGTGAACACAGGAAAAGGAAACCTTTTGTAGTGAATGGCTGAGTGCACGTGTCCTGATCTGAGTATTTCTCTTGAATATTCTTCGCGGTCAGTATCCTCATCAAGCAGTCTTCATCTGGTATTCCCTGTTCAGTGGGAATTTCAGAGTAGGTGAGAAACTTACTTCACCTTCTTGCTTTGCCTTTCTTCTCTTTCGATCGATTTAAGCACCAAGCCAATATTGGCCTGAAATTAGAAAAAACGGGACAGAAATGGACGAACAAGGAATCGTTAGTGTCAAGGAAGAGGAAAAGTCTCTCCTTCGCCCTTGCAACTTTGCCCAAGAAAACGGAAACCGCATAGCGCGCGATAGATTAGCGGATGCTGCTCGAACCCCCGACAATAGAATCACGGAATCTGAAAATGAAGTTGGTTTGGAGCAATCATACAGCCATGTGGTCAAACTATCAAAATTGCTGCACCATGAGATATCCAAACTTGGGCGTATCTCTGGAGAGAATCAACACGTTATAAGATCAGTGCAGGAGAAGATTGCCCAATTGAAGAAGCATAACCAAATTTTGGAGGAACAGTTACAAGACTGTCAGGCACGAATACTCAGATCATCTCCTGTGGCTGTCTTGAGTGATGCTACTGTCTTGGCAGATTTCAGTAGGATTCGCGAGACCCTTTCTAACTGGGTTGAGGAGTTGCCTGAAATTTGTGAAGACTTTGCCGATCACTTGTTTGCCGCATTCAGCGAACTTTCTCTTGATTCTCATGTATCCAAAGATACGAATAGCTATCCACAAGGGCCTCTTGCAGTGCAGTCTGAACTTCTGATGCACCTGGTTTTCTGTCGTCTTTCAAAGGGGCTCTTTGAGGTCTTAGTCCCGGGAATATCTCCATCAGATAACGATCTCTTGGATGGCCTTCGTGAGGGGCTGTTGTCGCTACAGTCCAAGAACAGTAGGTGTTGCGAATAGTAGCATCAGACTCGTTTTCACATCTGCTAACTTTGTTAGACTTCGAGAATGTGAGTGGTGGGGGTTCGAACATGATAGAGGCCTATGTTGCATCCCAAAAATACCAGAAGGGTGTCGACAACGAATGCTTCGAGATAATCGCTGATTTGGACGACTTTTTTTGGTGGATCGACTTTGAGTGCGACGTTAATTGGGACAGCAAAATGGCAACACTATCTACAAATATTCTGGAACCGGCCGTCAGTCTCGCAACGAAGATGAGCTGTTCACCCGCGCAATACATGTGGAATTGGTATGGCGAGGCATACTTCCCTCAACGAGTCGTACGCAAGTACCACCTGAAACATTTTACCGTGCAAGACGCCCGCACTCATAATAGAGTATCCCTGGCAAATCTTGCGCTTTTGGACGATGAAACCCCACTTGGCGAGCTCTTGGTGATAATTTTCCCTGCATTGTTCCGACGGGGAACTCACGGGAGTAGGGATGTCCAAATTGAGAAGGCTGTTGTCCTCATCCGTGCGAGAGATGATTTGCCGATACTAAAGAGGTCAGAAGACAGACCAAGCATGGATCCGCACGTTGTTGTCCAGGTTCCTTGAGGATTATGCACTGGGACGGTGGAACAGAGGTTCTGTACTGAAAATGAGGCAAGAGGGCAAATTGCATCAATTGCGATGGAGGGAACAACCGTAAGGCTACGCTAGGGTAGTACAGCACTCGGCGTGAAATCACGAGACCTTATATTTCATAAATTACCAAATAAATCACCATGTTTCTCAGACACTTCTGCATATTTCATTCATCTCCGGCACATCTGCACGGAATGGTATATTAGAATCAATGATTACATCTATATACATAAAAGTCCAGCCAACATCATGAAAAGCAGCCAGACAGGTTCCGTACCACGGAACCGACATCATCACATCCATCGTCGATTCCCAAAGGAGACATACATAACAACCAAGCTCAACCCATAAATCTGTATCCCAAGTACAAGCCCTTGTTTTTAACTAACAAGAAAAAGAAGAGGTAGAAAAATCGACATGAAGAAAGAAAGAAACGCGTTTACCGACCCAGCATTTTCAGCTCAATGGGTCTCAGAACGGAATGCACGACGAAAGAAAAGAGGAGAGCCAACTCGAAACCGACATCACCATTACCAGCATGCTTGGCGATGGGACCTGTGTACCATGTCTCACTCATACCAGTAACCATACCCGCGACACCGAAAGCAAAGGAGATACAAGCGGCAATACCATAGGGCAGCTTGTTCGGCTTGTCATATGTCTCGGGGCGGTATCCGGAGAAGCCACGGCGAACGATGTGGTCGGCAAGAGCGACACCGGAGTAAATGGCCAGCCAGTAGGCGATGAAGTCCATCAGGTTCTCCAGGACTTCTTCGAAGTGAGAGTAACCGGGAATGGCGACGGCGATGGAGACACCGGAGGCGAGAAGGACCCAGATGAAACGGGGAACGCGCTGGGAGTAGCGACTCAGGACCTGGAGAGTCAAGGAAACAGAGTAGATGTTGGGGCAGTTGTTGGCGATGATGGACAAAGACAGGATCACCAGACAGAACTTGCCGAAGCCACCAACGGGATCAAGAACAGCGCCCAGCAGACCTCCATTTCCAGACTGGCTGTAACCAAGGGCGTATTTGTTGTCTCCGCCGTTGATGGAAGTGGCGGTCATAACGGCAATACCCAGGAACTGGGTGAAGAGAAGAGGGGGAATCAGGCCTCCCCAGGCGGCGAAGAAGATCTTGCGGCGGCTGCGGTCCGCGGGCTGGTAGACGGTGTAATCGGCGGCGTAACTGGTCCAGCCAGTGGCGAAACCATAGACAGTCGCACCGTAAGACAGGCAAGAGCCGAGCTCAGAGGTTCCAGTTCCCATGGGGAGGTTCCTGAAATCACCGGAGTGGGCGAACAATCCGAACACGATCATGAAGACAATGAAGGTCGGGATCCAGCTGTAGTACTCGTACAAGTGGACGACCTTGTATCCAGCGAAGGTGACGAAGAGGGTGCAGATGGCGATGATCAAGATGCCTGCAAATCCAGGAACGTCGGAGTTCACCGCATTGAGAAGCTGAGCGCCGACGATGGAGTTGGCGGCGGACCAGCCCAAACAGGAGAGAACGTTCAGGAGGGCAACTATAGCAGAGGGTATAAGCATATGATGGTGGCAGACAGACTGTCACAGGAAACTTACTGATCTTAGTAGGCCAATAACCAAACCAGAACCGGGAGAGCACCATCTGGCGCAGACCAAAGGCGGGACCAAAGCAGGAGAACCAGCAGACAGTCAAGACACCCAGCAGGTTGAAGAAGAAGCAGACGAGGATGGCATCGACGAAGCCGAGAGCGAAGGTGGAGTAACCAAGCACGCCGATAGCGAAAGAACTGCTCACCATGTTGGCCGCCAGCCACTGCGACGGGTCAGTTTGGGAGGGCGGTCTTGGAGCAGCCGACAATAGAGCCGACGAAGACGAAAGCACAAGGCAAACAAGAGTTAAGAACACACCATGCTGCTGATATTGAAGTACGACGTGTCAGTCCGTTCATTGTCCGGGACACGTTCGACACCTCGCTGCTCAATATTGAGCTTTCCCGCCAACCGTTGCAGCTTTGCGTACAGCGAATTGCCGTACATGAAACTCTCCCCAGGGACAGCGCCATCGCTGCTGTCATCCATGGGCGTTTTGCCCACCTGGGGGGCTTTTTCGAGATCGGACTCGACTCCTCCGAACATGGTGTTGGAATGGAAAAAGGTACGCGTATATCTCAACGGCGCAAGGTTTGAAAATGTGCTGACGTTGGGAAGATAACCCTCGGTCAGGAATCAAGTAGACTTGATAAGAAGTCTTTTTTTGGAACTCTTGAATACGAGAGCTGTAAAGCTCAGGTACCAAGTATAGTTCAAGGGGGAAGGGGAAGGGAAGGGAAAGGAGGAGACGAAAACCACATCTTTCTTTTTTCTTTCTTTCTTTCTCTGCAAGAGAGCGTGGGAGAAGAGCTCCTAATATGTGTTCGGAGGCAACGAGAATTTCTTCTCACACCCACCGTGACGAGGCCCACCCCACGAGATCCGAACGAGTATCAGGCACGATGATTGATCGCTTCTGCACGACGGAGAAACGCCGCCGCGACCGCGTAACAGCTTCCCATGGGCTCAGCTCCTGTCGCGTGTTCCGGCGGAGGTCCCAGCCCTGGCCTGGTCCGCCTTTCTTGTTTCGAGAAAAAACTCTCACGTTTACTTTTTTCTTACAGGCCCCACCGCCGCCAACTTGTCTTAGCTTAGCCCTAGTGCGCACAAGCTTATGTTGCCACCAATTATATGCAGCATGGCCCCATCTTCATCATTGTCATTGGAGGATACGAGGCTGGGCACATGGTTAAGCACCACATAGATCGCAGAAATTATCAGCAGTCTGCCTCTGGTTGGACATTTTTGTCTACCAGGACCGAGTGGGTCCGGTGGCGAAGGAACCCACGCTGATAAGGTCTCGCCTGGTGATAGGCACACCTGCGCCCGTAACCCTGAGAGATTTGATAATGATAACACTTCAGGTTCGTTAGGTATTTCGGTTTGTACGGCTTACCGCGATGCCTGCAGCTGGTCCCCCCAAGGCTGACCATCTCTGTCAGGCCCGATAGCCACCTATCTCATGGTGTTGATTATCATCACCCCGGACTGTCAATTAGAATGCTAGGGGGTGTTGATATCATTCCTGCAGTCGGTCAACGCCGAAGGGCGCAGGAACTCTATCGTTGTCCTGCTTACTGCATGTAGACTTGCCACCGTTGCCTCATCGCACAGTTTTATTCTCCGTAGTGTAGTCATGGGGCCACAGGAACTGGCTGATCAACGCAATAATTATGCCACGATCGCCAGCTCGAAAGGAAGAAGTCAACTATTAGCCTGAGGCATTCAAATTCAGAAACATCATCATAATCAACAATGACAGAAGCAGCTATCTTTCCCCAGACTTTGCTGATACCCCGCGTCATCGGAAACCTACGAAGAATTGTGCTTCGGGCTGACAGGGAAGCGGTGATCGCCGCCTCTAATCGCTATCACAAAGTTTTGCCATGTGCAGCCCGTCCGCGAAGCTTCAGCTAAGCATATCTGCGCCGAGCGATATCGACTTGGCAGGCAGACATGTGAAGTTGGATGCTGTTGATTGGGATGAGGACATGATTTCACAGCTGGCTATGCATAGGCCTTGATTGGACGCCATGCAGCCCAGATAAGGGCCTCCTTGTCCATATCTCTGGGATGCAATAGTTGCATGATACGAACCCCTTAGCGCGGGAGCCCCTAAATTACTGCCAGCTCATAGCAGCATCAACCCCGGAATGTCTGCCTGTTCTGGCCACAGCTATCGTCAAAATGAGCGATAGTTCTAGGTCAAGTCTGGAGTATGGAGTGTTTCTATCCTCCACCTAGCACCTGACACCTATCTTCATGGAATACTACACACATTCTAGAACAAAGATAGCATCTCAGGCCGCTTGTCTGATACCAGCCGAACTGGACAGTCCATCGTTATCAGGGCCCTTCTTCCCCTTCCCGCCTAATCAATTAACTTCCGCCGTCTCCCTCTTTTCCCGTTTAGCAGCTAATTAAACCCGCCAGTGCCCTGGAAATGCAACCCTGCATTAAATCTTTACCCTTTCCTGTTGCCTAGCCCAATCCTTCTTTCTTTATTTCTCCTCTTCATCTCATATACCATAACCATCCAGTGTACTCACAGCAGAGACACTGCAACACCCAACCAAGCCGTGACGCTTCCAACTGTAATCTATCTACATACCCTACTCAGACGACCCTCAGTGGAACCTCCACCCTGCCGCTCCACAACTGCAATCCGCACCAACGACCCACCGAGGAAACTTTCGGGATCTGAAGGGTGACTCCAACAGTAACTTTCGGGAAAGTAACCTAGAAGAAAAAATTGGAAAGACGTTTTCCCGTCGTCGCGTGCTTGAAGTAGACAATACCAAAGTAGGCATGTACCTGCGTGCCCAGCCACCAACGCAGACAATCGCATTCAGCCCCTCTCTATCAAGCTGAGACACGGAAGCGTCTTTTTTCACTCATTGACATTGAGATACCTACATTAAGATTTATCTATACATAACTGCACATAATCCCCTAACCCAAGATAATTGAATATTAATTTTCATCAATCCATTATACCCAAATTCATAAAAGAACACACAAAAAAGAACGGTACCGAACGCGTCTCCCAACCCCGAACGACCTTCCTAACCTACGCGTCGGATAACCCGTTCTAGTGTCCTCGATAGAAAAAAAAATTTTCATTTTCCCTTCCATACTATCTAACCACTAATCAATGAATGAAAGAATGGATGGATGGGACGGTTCGACCCGCCAATCCCAACGCAGTCTCACCAGTCCCGATTCAGCTCTAACTTACTACTTACTATCGGGTCGGTTTCCCGAGTCTGCCGAGCATTACCATTTTATGTCTACCGTGGGTTTTATATGCTTCGTAGGATAGTGTGCCAAGGACCAGCCAACCAAATAGCCAACCAATTATTCAATTAGTTATTAGACTGTAGACAGTTACTAAGCGGGGGTTTTTGCCGAGCCGAAGCCATATTCTTCCATTCTTCTTTTCTTTCGTTCTTTCGTTCTGAAATGGGCTAGATTGTAGTTCGCTATTGAGGATTAGTGAGTCACATTTTGGTTTCTACACGAACTCCGCGGTAAAGATCGATTCAGATTGGATAGAGTTGTCTTTGAGGCTTTTTCTTTTCCCGCCCGTCAATATCTTCCTAATATTCCACTATCCTCTGGGGCAGTTGGAGATACGTACTAACTACAAAATACCTAGACTCCTTCTGGATAAGAATATGCAGGTACAGACATGCCTCACTAGCTAACTACTTAAACACTAGCTTACTTGCTAGATAGTTATATACGGAGTAATAGCTCGAATACGGGTGCCTGTTTGACTGAGTGACTTGTGACTGTGGCACTAGACTGTTTGTAGGTAAAATGTTGTGGCTATTCGCCTTAGAACGCTGGGGCGTTGAAAATGTGGGTTCGGAGACTGGTTAGCTCACTTAGGTGAGGCGCCAAGGGAGAGGGATGACGTGGGTTTTCAGTTGTGCAAGATGTTGGGAAGTTGGAGGTTACTTCTTTGTAGTAGGTTATTGTCATGTAGGATGCGCATTTTGGAAGTAGTAGTACCTAGTGGGTGCTTACTTAGTAGTATTGTGAAGGTTCAATTGCTTCCAATGTTCAGATCATTGCGTTGTGCTGCTGCTGCTGCTGCTGCTGCTAGATGAATATATATTTAGCATCGGCTTCGGCATCTTTCCGTGATCTGCGGTAAATGATATGCCTATCATGATGGGAATGGTAGCTATCACTCCGTACTAGGTGAGTGATTGTGCACATATTAGTAACGGAGGCAAATGAAAAGTGTGTCATTATGTAGATGAATGTCAGAAATCAGCCATTGGTGATTAGATTGACATGGATCAAGTATAAGCTTAAATGTCGATATGCATACCCACGGGGTGATGATTGATACCATGCTCATCAGAACACCAACATTCTGGTTAATCATTAAGAGTATTCTCACATCATATGCCTACAATACATACCCTGGAAACATTAACAAGCCCATCAAGTATCTGACTTCCCCTTCTCCGAACAACTAGCACCCCCCTCCCCTACCTCTCCCACCTGCTCCACTCCATCTACAACCAAACCCTGCACATCAGTCGGTCCCTTGAACTGCTTCCGAGCGGCAGTGAACCACGTTAAAATGGCCAGCAATGCAATCAGTCCGATCGCCGCACTGGTGTAGTTCATCGAATCTGGAGTGACCGGTGCATCTGAAGGAAAGTTGAAGGTAATGAACGCAAAGAACAGAAATAGGAATCCCAGGCCATGTACACTGAGCGATATGGGCAACGGGAAAGAGTAAGGACCGTCGACGGTAGCGATGTCATGGCCAAAGAAATACCCGAGGAGGCGAGCAAGAAGGACCAATGCGTAGGAAACGTCTATGATAGTAATACTGTTAGCTTTGTCCTTGTTGCCAAATTCAATGGGAACGTCTTACAAAATCCCGTGGTCGCAATAGACACAACTGTATTAAACCCAGTGACGGTGCCGAAGTAGATCGAGTTGAAAGCCATTTGCACCACAACAGTGAACAATATCGCATATATCGGGATCTTTCTCCTCTTCTCCACCCGGGATAAGATCCCAGAGAATGGCATTCCCCGGTCCCGTGCGAATGCGAAGAGTGCTCGGGAGCCCTCCGCAACAAGACTCACTGAGGCTACCATCATGATCACCGTCATCATACTGGTCATGAAGCAGGCCGCGACTTTGCTTTGGGTTGAGTCGTAGAAAATCTGCAACACCGGAACGCCTGTAGAGGAGTTTGCAGTAGCATCAATGTCGCCGATGCAGAAGCAGAGCGTCAATAGAAAAATGAATCCTGTTACAGCGCCCATCCCAACAGACATGACCATGGCCTTGGGCGCATCCCGCGAGGCATGTGTCATTTCTTCAGTCATGTGGCTTGGGGTATCGTAACAGCACATGCCGAAGAAACTTTGAAGGATTCCGACCATTGTTGCCATGGCAGATCCGAAGCCAGTTGTGTTCTGGAAATCTTGGAATACGAATGCGGCATCTTGCTTGTTTTTGTTGGTTGCTAGTAGAACTACGACGATGATGATGAACGAGCAAACGTTCCACAGCAGGATGGCCCGGGATAGGCGGTTGAGCAGGTGGGGCAAGAATATATTGACCAAGAGAGCCCAGATTGCGACTGCATAAGTGACCAAGACAGTATGCCACCGTTCGATTACATATTCGGGATATACCAGGTTTGCTTGTCCGAGGATGAAGTTGGCTGCGAACGAGTTGTTCGCAGAGCCCATGGCGAGAATACCTGTCCTTGACTGAGCATTGTGACACATATAGTCTGGAGGTAGAACATCGCTTACCCATTAGCATGAACCACCCCGTTATGTACGACATCTCTCGAGCGATCTTTGGCGGTGCCAGCAGAAAGACCCATGAATACTGCCCTCCGGCCACGGGCCACCTTGAGCACCATTCTGCCATGGATAGGGCAACCGCAAAGGTGATTACACACACGCCTAACCATCCGAAGAGCATAACCGGTGGACCACCGGCATCTACTCCAATGATGAATACACCACTGAGCGCACTCCAGCTGTCATAGATGTTAGCCAGCTGTTCGACATGGTAAGATCGGTGTGGACTACCAGGTAACGATACTAAAACTGAAGCCTATCATATCCAAGAGGCCGAACGACCGTTTGAATTCTGGAAACATTAACGTCAGTCAATCCCATATTGATTCGAAACTACACTATAAATCAAGCCATACCTTGCTGATAGCCCAAGTGCTCAAGCGTGAGGTCTTCTTCGGTGCCATGGCCGAAGACATCTTTGGGCTCCACAGACATGATGCCGATGGTGGTGACGGTGCATAAAGGGTCTTGAGGCCGATCAGATTGACGACATATCTGCTATATATCCAGTCGGGACAGCATGATAAGCTCTTGACGATAATGTACCGTGTCTGTCGGCTGGCTCTGCAGCTCAGCTTGCCAAGTGGTGCTTATCAGCGGATCGACCGGTGACATACCGAGTTGGAGGACCGCCATTGGCAGGACGCGCATCTTCAGCAAGGGGCATTGGGCCTATCAAAGGAGTAACTTTATTGCTTTTTCGGACCCTCCGACATGCCTTCAACCTGTAGTTTTCGTCTGAATGAGCCAGCAGCGCGGTCGGAGTATGACTCAGCTGCTAGTGACTCCGATCGTGGTGAACTAACCTGCGGGGTACGTACCCAATCTCCTACTATATAATCGGTGAATCACAATCAGCGCCCACATGATTCGAGGTCATTCTTGAACCCTCACAATGGCTTACATTGAGAACTTACAAGGGCTCATAGCCCAATCGCTATCATTGGTGGTCCTCGCAATTTCTAGCGCCGTATTCTGCAGATGCTTCTATCGCATTTACCTCCATCCTCTATCATCGGTACCTGGTCCTAAGCTCGCAGCCTGTACTTCGCTATGGTTAGCATACCACACATATATCGGCGATGAATGTACAGTAGTATATGATTTGCATCGCAAATACGGCCCGGTCTTACGAGTCGCTCCCAATGACGTCGACATCGCCGATAAAGATGCGCTGGAGCCAATCTACGTTGCTCGCGGGGGTTTCCCCAAGACATCAGCATATTCCAAGTTCGACATCGACGGACACACAACCATTTTCTCCAGTCTGACTTTGCCTGAGCGATCAACACGAGCGAAAGCTGTCGCCCCTCTTTTCTCTACGGCATCAATTCGCAACTCTCAAGAAGCCTTACGCGAGGTCTTTGACGACTTCGCGAAAAGACTGCAGACTGAAGCGCGCACTGGTAGACCAGTAAACGTGCTTAATGTGACGCGTGCCATGGCAATTGACGCTGTAAGTACGTATCTGTTCCACGAGAGGTACGGTGCCATCACGGAGGATTCAGAGTCAATGTCTGCATCGCCATTTGTGGATTCCTTCGTTGGAGTAGGTGCCTATTTCAATATCGTGCCGGGGAAAATTGGTGGTTTTGTCACGAAGGTCATTGAGCGTTGGAGCACGACCAAGAATGTGGAGCAGTCGCACGGACTGATCGACCAGTACGCCAGAAGGCTTGTCCAGGCAGCGGTACCAAAAAGTGGAAGCTATCAGAGCCGTTTGCTGGAGAAGTCGACCATAGCACAGTCTCAGATTGAAGTCAAAGATGTCTGTTTTGCAGGAACTGATTCCACGGGAATGAACACCGCGACGATCATGTGGTATCTTGCAAAACACCCAGAAGTGTGAGTCATAAAGGCCAGAGTTGTACCCTAATGTCACTAACGGGGCTTTCCTATAGTTATGATCGTCTCAGACATGCAGTCATGGAGAGTATTGAAAACGACGAGGACCCAACCGCGTGCGCGTACCTGCGCGGCGTCGTCCGAGAAGGCCTTCGTCTTTCCTGGGCCAATCCAATTCGCCTGCCTCGTTCAGTTCCGGCTGGAGGCTGGAAGTATCGTGACTACTATTTCCCGGCTGGTACGAGTGTTGGTGTTGCGGCCTATCAGCTGCATCAAGATAGCAGCGTGTTCCCTGAGTCGCATCGTTTCCTTCCTGAACGTTGGGATAACGCGGACGACAGAATGCTTACGGCATTCTTTGCGTTTGGCAAAGGGACTAGAGCATGCATTGCCCAGTCGTTGGCCATGTATGAAGTTACCATGGCTATTTTCACCGTGGTCAAAGAAGATGTGCTGCGTGGTGCGTCGATTGTGGAAGACCGAATCGAGATAAAAGAATGGTTCAATTCCAAAGTCAAAGGGCATGAGATTTTGATACAGTTCGCTAGCAAGTGAAGCGACATACACTATCACCAGGAGTGAAACAGCTAATTATAGACGTGTGTTTGAGAAAGCCTAATTGGTATGTCGCATAGAATAGACACGTCAAAAGCCCTCTTTAGAGAAATCAATATCCTTACCATCCAGCCACTCCGCCATTTCCTTGTATACCATGTCCCGCTCTTTGCCGAACAACTGGGGCAGATTCTGCTTAATCGGATAGCCTAGCCGGCGCATACCATAAGCCAGAAACCGGTAGCCTTTGGGCTCCTTGGCTAGAGACTCATGGTCAATATGTGGAGGTCGAGTAGGGTCCACTGGTACACATTTATCCTTCTCGTAGATTGGATGATTGCAGAGGATTTTCCATCCCTGCGGCTGCTTCTTCATGAAATATCCAAATCAACAGTCACTAAAACCATCCATGTTAGTAGGCTCATATTTGAGACGGGAGAGACTTACCAGTCGCTATCCCATTCAACCCCGTTCTCATCCGCAAACCGGCAGGAGATCGTACACTTCATTTTATCGATGGCACGATCACCCTTGATATCTACGGCGTGACCCAGAACCCGATGGCAAATGAATTCACTCTTCGCCCATCCTTCAGCCCAAGTATCAATGGCCTTGTCCCGGTAGTTTTGCTGCCAGCTGATATTTATGAAGGCCTTGGGATCAAATATTTCCCTCAGATCAGACCATTCGCAGGCATCGCGGTGAAGAGGCCAGCCTTCGCAGAGCTCGCGGATTCTGAACCGCTCCAGAGTAGAAGCGTCATCGGTATTGTATGTTAGACGGTTGGATGCAGAAGGCGGTTCGGCACCCAAGCTGTAGTCGCCTTTATCTGGCAGTTTGAAAAGTGCAGTCTTTCTAGTATAGTCTGATTGGCTGATGCCGCTCATTGCATCTGTCTGTTCTTGAGCTTTGCAAGTGGATGTAGTGTAGATGACAATCTGTTGGTATAGGAGGTACCATGATGGATGGACAGAGGCCTAGATATAAATAGAGTGTCAGAATTGACTTTGGTTACTTTTGAATGACCTATTTGTATGACATACCGGTAGTGGCGAAGTATATCCAAGAATATCATGAACCGTCCACGTAAGTGATATGTTTTCTGCTTGGGCATGAATGTCAATCAAGTCTCGGAGAAGAAGCCTCTTTCAATTCTAGGGAAGTCAATAGTTCTAGTCTCAAGCGTGCTCATCGAGTTTGCAAGTTCAAACTTCAGGGTGTCCCTTGAATGTGCAATTAAGAAACATCCGGCGCCGCAAATTGGTCGACAAACCTGGAACCGGTCGCTCAAAACTGGTTCTGATGATGCTCAGACCGGACGCTTCAAAATTCAAGGAGTAGCGAGGAATATACTTTTCGTGCCGTTTGCGTTCCATGGTGGATCTTCGAAGCAGCTGTCATACCAGGTTTCCTTGGATTGCAGAGCCATGTAGTCTGTTTGCAGGGTGGTACCTGAAAATGAAGTTGCGGATCGGGCCATGGCAAGGTGGAATACCCAATGGTAGATGTGGAAATGGATTCAAACAAAAGTATGTCCGTAGTAGTTGTGTCGGGTATGTCAAGTTAGTGGTAGGAAGGGTGAGACCCGCTCTCCCCACATGACGGCCTCGATAGCCTAATTTTTGAGATGAGCTTAGATCAACTTCATTACAGCTTCTACTTCTAGTAAAGAGACGTTCCATCGCCCATTCTTTGCCTGTGTAACAACCACTCTTATCTCACATACCAAATCTCCACGGGCAAGTCTAAACCCTGACAATGTCCCATAGTCCGAATCTACCGGCGGTCTATAAGCCACATACCAGATCTACCCCGAGCTGCAATGCCGGCCCGACTAGGTTATTATTACGATCTCGCATTTTCAACACTTGTGCAACAGCGGATTCATATTTTGTACATCTGGCCTTACTTAAAAGTGGCACAGGCATTTGTGTGGTGGGTACTCCCTTGCTTTGTATTTCCGTCTGGGTCGATGGACGTCGAGATCGTCTGTGTTACCGGGAGTAGGATGCGGTTGCAGGCGTCGGCTATGTGTAGGTATTAGGAGACTAGCAGCCTTTCATGGGATGATGCGAGGGGTGAGTGTGAAGGTGACAGAAGGCATAGTGCCTGTCTGAAAATAATGAGGTGTAGTACTATCTGTATTTTCTGGACGGTAGAGGTCTAATTGAATGAGTATGACACTCATTGGCTAGAGGAGTGTAAGATATTTTCGAGTCTTGAATCTTATTGTATAGCTAGGTTAAAGAGCAAGCATTGCCAAAACAGCTTCACTGGTATTCGGTAGGAGTATGAATGGATGGAATCATGAACAGTCCAACTGTCTTGAACTGGCACTGACAATATGCATGCAAATGGTATCTGAAATGAGAGAAGTTTACAACTTGGCCAACATCTTGTTGCCCTTCTGCAACAGAGCAGCAGCATCGTCCACAAGCTCATCAACAATAGCCTTGGCAGGCTTCTTCTCGTTTACAACAGCAGCAACCTTGCCCATCAGGAAGGGGCGAGCGTTCTCGAGGGTCTCGTCATCAACATCATCGGGAAGGTTCTCCATGTCGTGCTCGGCCGGGATAATACCCTGAGAAGTGAGCTTCTTGATCTCGTCTTGGCGGTTCTCTTCCCAGTTCTTGATGTATTCGTTGTTACGGACACGGAGCGGGCGGCCCTAAAGCAGTTAGGATATGAATCAGGTGTAGTGTTTCGTTGCACTTACCGTGAAGATAATAGTGCGGATTGTGTCGTTAAAGCCAGCAGTGCGGACAGCCTCCTGGTGAGCCTTGGGGGCACCAGCCTCGTCAGCCAGGATGAAGCGAGTACCAATCCACACGGCCGAAGCGCCAAGCATCAAGGCAGCAGCCACCGAGTTGCCATTGTACAAGCCACCGGCAGCAACCACCTGCACGGGCAGACCAGTCAAGGGACTCTTCTTGCCCTGGCACAGCTTGGCCACGGTAGGAATGAGGATCGTAGTGGGAACATCGCCAGTGTGACCACCACCTTCACCACCCTGAGCACAAATGATATCCGCGCCGGCATCGAGGGACTTCTGGACGTGCTTGGGGTGACCGATCATGTTCATGTACAGGATGCCTGCAGCATGGAGTCTGTCCACGACAGCTTTGGGGGGCACACCGACGGCAGAGACGAAGAGCTTAGCGCCGCTTTCAATAATAATGTCGACAAGTTCGTTGAGCTTGCCCTTAGTGTAGTCGTAGCTGAACAACAGAAAGCGGATTAGCATCTCGGGTTTCCGTTTGTCATACAATCACATGGGTGTCTCACTTGGTCTTGCGGGCGCTTCCACCGACCTGGGGGAGCAGCAGATCAACACCAAAGGGAGCGTTCTTGTCATTCAGGAAGCTCTTGAGCTCTGCAATCTGCTCACGGAGCATGTCGGGGGTGTATCCAACACCTCCAATAACTCCCAGACCACCGGCGTTGGTGACCGCGGCGGCCAACTTGGGGCCGGCGGCCACGTTCATACCCGCCAGGAAGACGGGGTGGTTGATCTTGAGTAGATCAGTAAGAGTAGTACGGATTTTTTCTACAAGAGCAGAATTTCATTAGCATTCAAGATCCCCGAAGATTCCGGCGCATTGCATAGTGCGTATGAAGAGGCGGTGGCGAGGAACTCACGCGGAGAAGCCATTTTGGAGTATATGAAGAGACGATAGATGGATGAGAGGTGGATCGGAGACCAAAAATTAGGTACAAGGTAGTAATATTTCAGTTAGCAAGTAAAAAAGGGATGCGGAGACCCAGGGTATCCAAGCACAGTTATAAGGAGTAAGTGTGCAGGCTGGAGGAGCCGAGGACAAAGAGTGACCAGCACGAGCCTCGGTCCAGGGCGTGTGATGGACCAGGCTATTGACGGCTGACTACCCCGAGTTTCCAGCCGAACCACCTGATTCCCGTTGCGGGGTTACCACACTTTGCCTATTCTCAGTTAGCCTATGATTAGTCGTGTGGCTGGTGAAGTGTGGCTAGTAAACAGTTGTTGTTCACGCCTCAGGCTGTCACAGCCGGAGTCAGGTGACGGGAGTAGCACGGCCCGCGCATGACGTATTTTCATTCCGGATTCGCTGTAGATCTCGCCTCTGCACTTCGTTTCTGAGCTCCGTGGCTGCTGCAGAAAGTATGAGACCTAAGCCAACGGTGACCTGGCATAGCAATGCTGTCGCCTTGACATCAGCTGTCCGCGCTTGTCGGTTCCCCAGCACAAGCCTGCTGCATTCTCAACCATGTAGAGGCGGATCAATTCTTAGCAGATCATTTGGCAGTTTGGTAGCAAGGCATGTCTTTCATTGATAAGATTAGAGATATCACAGTCTAACTCTTATAGAAACTCATCTGTATCTGGTACGGCTTCTTATATATGCAATTGCTACAAAACCTGCTCGTTGTTCGCTACCATTGGTGACCACCCTATTCATGAGGACAATAAATTTTTTTGTGGATAGGACCTGGCTCACAAGGTTCGCATGTGTAGTATCTAGAGCTGGACTAACTCACTATCAGAGCCATTGCACACCAGTAGTCTCAATAGAGGCACATTGAGCGGCATCGATGCAAGGAGATCCCGCCATGAAATCCTAAAGCCCCTGTGTCACACTCGCAAGCTCACAACCAGCCGAGCACGTCTATTCAACCCCAGCATGGATCGAGTACATCCCTCCACCCATCGGGCATTCATTGCCTTCGGCAGCAATGTTGGAGACCGCATTGATATGATCGAGGCTGCTTGCCGCGAATTGGAGCGCGCCAACATCCGAATCAAGCGGACGAGCTCCCTCTTCGAGACAGCCCCGATGTACGTCCTCGACCAGGACCCCTTCATCAACGGAGTGTGCGAGGTACGTGCCCACTCCCATTTTCAACACATCAAACCCTAACCTCCCACAGGTCGAAACCAGCCTATCCCCCATGGAACTGCTGGACACCCTGCAAGCCATCGAGCTAGGCCTCGGCCGGAAGAAGCTCATCGACAAAGGCCCACGCTCAATTGACCTGGACATCCTCCTGTACGACGAGCAAATCTTCACGCATGAACGTCTCGACATCCCGCACAAACTTATGCTCGAGCGCGACTTTGTCCTCCGACCCCTCTGCCAGTACGTTCTCCCCCTTCCCCTCCCTATTCCCAATCACCACTAACCACCAACAGACTAATCCCGCACGAACGCCCTCCCTTCCTGGGCCACTCCCAAAGCTACCTCAACCACCTCAAAACCCTCCCACCTCCATCTCCCACCCCCCACCCAACAACCCCCATATCGCCCCTCTTCCCCGCAATCCACAGCACCAACCCGTCCCGCCCAACCCACATAATGGCCATCCTGAACCTAACCCCCGACTCCTTCTCCGACGGCGGCACGCACTCCCCCACCGACCTAAGCACCCTAACCACAACAGTCCACAACATGATCCGCTCCGGCGCCACCATAATCGACATCGGCGGCGAAAGCACCCGCCCAGGCTCCACCCCCGTCAGCGAATCCGAAGAACTCTCCCGAGTAATCCCCGCCATCAGACACATCCGAACCACCATCCCAGAGGCCGCCCACATCGCCATCAGCATCGACACGTACCGTGCTCGCGTCGCCGAAGAAGCCTGCGCCGCCGGCGCGGACATCATCAACGACGTCTCGGCGGGTCTCCTCGACCCCGAGATGCTACCTACCATGGCCAGGACCGGAAAATCAGTCATATTGATGCACATGCGCGGCACTCCCTCCACCATGACAAAGTTAACGGACTACCCTAACGGAGTCATCAAAGATGTAGGCAATGAACTCCTCGAACGGGTCGCCGCTGCAGAAGCAGCGGGGATTAGACGGTGGAGGATGATATTAGATCCCGGGTTAGGGTTCGCGAAGAATGAACCTCATGATTTGACTATCTTGAGGGAGTTGAATAAGTTGAGGACGGGGATCGAGGGACTGGAGTATTTCCCGTGGTTGATGGGCCCGAGTCGGAAGAGGTTCGTGGGCAGGTTGACGGGGGTGAAGGAGGCTAAGGATAGGACTTGGGGGACGGCGGCGACGGTGACGGCGAGTGTTGCGGGAGGTGCGGATATTGTTAGGGTGCATGATGTTAAGGAGATGTGGCAGGTTGGGAGGGTGGCGGATGCGATTTATAGGGGGGTTGTTTGATGGGGATGGATGTGAAAAGTGGGAGTTTTGTGAGTTTGGATATTCAACTATAGGATTGTGGATGGGATAGATATGTATTGGGTATAGGGTGGAGGAGGTCTGGCGTATTGGTTTCCCAGCTGGTTTGGGCGTTGGGAAGGGTTCAACCCCGGATACTATTTATTGTAGATAGTTATTGGCAGGATTGAGTCAATTATCCTGTGATGATGAGTGCACAGTCAGGCAACATCCACATCTATACTAATAGCCATGAGGGGTAAGTGGATAGATGAAAGAATATATGTTCAGCAATCTATCCTAGCTACGCTACGAGCAAACAAAAGCACACATGAATGAGTGTCATCCAAAGAAGCAAAACAGCAAATGGCGAATGACAGGTATAACCCAACCCAAACAAGAGCCTCCCCACAACCAAAGATAGATCACCAATCCAGTCCAACCTGAACCAAACACATCAGAAACCTATATAATCCACCAAAAGATAATCCACCAACCCATCACCCACCCCCCTCCCCAGCAGAACCCAACCCCACCCCCAACTCCTCAGGCTCATCCCACTCCTCAGCGGGAAAAAACCCACTAAGAACGACATAATCCCCGGCCTGGCACCTACTCAACTTCATCTCCCTAACCTTCTCCAACAACTGCAACTTGACAAAATACCGATCCAGCTTCAACGGCGGAAACATGAAGTTCTCCAGCCTATACTGACTATAAAACACCGTCTGACCATCCTCATCAACCCCGAAGGGTTCCGTGACATCCGTGCGCCTGTTATATTTCTTCTGCTGTAACGGAGGCTGACAGGTCAAGAACGCCTGCTTGAGATCCGGGTAACGTTCCGGGCTGAGGTAGCCAATGACGGTCTCGCCCGCGTACGTGGGTTCGTTGGTGATGGGGTGCTTGAAGTGTTTGACTGCGTAGATTAGGCCTTCCCGGTCAGAGGAATTGCCGACGACGTGGTGCAGGTGGCCGCGGCCTGCGGGGCCGTGCTCGATCCAGAGCCCGTGCCGGTATGGTGGCCAGCTGTTGTCGTGGAAGTCTTGGGCGCCGGGGGGAAGGTGGAACCAGACGTGGCTGATTTTCCAGGATGGGTAGGGGGCTCTCGGCTTGGGGTAGGTGGTGGGGGAATCTGGCGGAGGAGGAGGAGGAGGTGTTTCTGGTCGGAGGGGGACTTCGGTTTGGATAGGGGTTCTTCTTCCTGTGTAGAAGGTGGTTCGTGTTTCGGTGTCGAGGGGGATTTGGCTGGTCATGATGGTTTGGAGGATTAAGAATGAAGGTGTTTAGGGTGTGCGGTAGGAATGGATATTAGGGTTATGAGGCGAAGAGGGATGAGAACTGGCAGGCATTTTCGAGATAAAGATGTTGTATATAGAGCTCCGCATTTGTTGGTTGTAGATGGAAGGAGAGGCTAGGGAAGGTGCGCCTGTGCTGTATACCGTAGAAGATTGTTGACATATACATACTTATTACATACATGCTGAAGCAATAGAGTTGGCTTTTCATTCACTAATTCAGTTCTAGACTCGTAACCTACTAAGTTCAATGACGAATATACAAGGATTCAAAGCAACCAAAGATGTTCAGTGGAAGGCAATTAATGATTTCAACTAACGCAGAAGAGCAGCATGGATGCGAGCGATACCAACCTGAACCGTTAAATCAGTAAACGGAACCTAGCGCACCCAGCAAGTCTCGGCAAATAGAGAGCACTGCGCCAGCCATGTTGTCGAAAAGCTCTGTTTATGAGGGTACTAATCAGGGGAATAGAAGACGGAGACAGAAACGCCACAGATGAAGGAGATCGAGGAGAAAACTGGCTAACAAGGGTCAGGATAAGCCGGAGGTAAGAATTGAAAAATTATCAGTGAGTTGTCGCGCACATATCTAGCTGTTCAGGTAGCTGCGTATAGCACCTAAAGATTCTGTGAATAAGCGTTCGCTGTGAAGACAATGGGGATAGACTGACCTTGCAGCTTAGTTGCGCCCTCCCCGACGAGCTGCGTCAGGTTCTCAAGGTCATCACCCGCGGTGATACCGAAGCGACGCACAAAGTCCTTGGCAGCATTTTCAAGATCACCGTAGGTATCATCGGCAACGGGAAGATCATCCTCAGGACGTCCAAAGTAGGAGTTGCTCGAGATAGCCTGGGCGCCGTCGAATTGACGAAGGCGCTCCTTGGCCTCAGCCTGAGCATTGGGGTCGAAACGATCGCGTCCGAAGAACTCGTCGGAAGAGATACCCTTCTGGCTACCGAAGCGAGACTTGGCCTGCTTCAACTCCTCATCTGTAAACATCGTTAGTCGTCATCCTAACCACTATAAGAACTAGGCAAGTCGCATACCATCAGCGGCAGACCGAGGCGCAACAGCACCGAAGCCCGGCTTCTTCGGGGCAGCCGGCTTCACGCCGACAGTCTGTCCAAATCCGAGTCTTCCAATTCCCATGCCAAGACGCTCAACATCGCCCGAATTGCGCTCTTGGGTGTTCCTGCTAGGGCTGATAGGAGTGGGTGAGGCGATCGCCGTGGCAGCGGTGGTGGTCGTCTTGGCCTTAGCATCAGCCTCAGCCTGCTCGGCTTCAGGGTCGTAGCCCAGCTTCTCAATGCGCTCAGCCTCCTCCTTGGCCTTTCTCTCAGCCTCATCGAAGTCGATAATTTCCGCGGCGCCGATCTTCTTAGCCCCCAGCTTGGGGGCCTTCTTGGCACCCAACACGCTGCCCTTCTTGGCAGTGGTGGTAGAAGGGGTCTTACGGACAGCAGCGCTGGCCCGGATGGCGGTAGGGGCAGGGGAAGCGCTGTCCTTGTCGGAAGCGGACAGGGGCGATTTGGAGCGGGAACCGTTTGCGCCGGAGTTCAGGAAGGGAGAGCCAGTGCGGCTGACAACCGGAGGAGTACCGGTACGGGAAGGGGGGTTGCTGGGGCGCTTGATGGAGGGCTTGTCCCAGGAGGAGAAGAAGTCGTCATCCTCAGCGGCGGGGGTACTGGAGCCGTTGGACGGAGTGCCAGCGGGAATATCGGTAATCACAACCTCTCCGGGGTACCTATGCGTAACAAAAAGCATTAGACCTGTAATATATGCAGAAGACCCGGGCCCACTAACTGTTGCGCATCCTGCGCAGCGCGTCTCTTGAGCTCCTCCTTGTACTTCACGGCGGCGTTGCAGGTGTACTTGACTTTGACGTCCTTGCTGGCGAGAGCGGCAGAACCGCCGTGCGATTGGAAGTACTTGGTAGCGGACTCGTTACCGCCGACCTTCATAACCCGGAGCTGTTCCCATTGCCATTCTGCACGTATCACATTAGCACCGACGGACATGGAAGTCAGGAGATGCGATGAAGCATACGGTCGAGGTTGGTGGAGCGAACGAAGGAGATATGCACGCCCAGGTTACGGTGATTGGCCGAGCAATCAAGGCACAGGTAGATACCGAAAGGCACAGACGACCATGTTGGGTTCTTAGAGCCGCAATCGAAGCAGATCTGTGGAGGTCAAAAAAAGCAAGAGTTAGAATGGCTGGTCGGAGTAATAGTAATAATAATAATAAGTCTGGCGGGGAGGGGCACTGCGCGCCTTGTTTGCGGGCTTGAGTTTTAGCTTCTCAAAGATCTTCTGAGACTCCGTTTTGGAGGCACTCATGATGGGCGAATTGAATATGATAGAAAAGGACCCGAGGGAGAGGAAGAGGAACGGGCCAGCAGGCGGAATAGGATTATGACACAACGGAGAGGTCGGGGAGGAAGAGAGAGGGAGAGGGAGATCCGAAAAGGCGAAGCGGGAGAGACGAACGTGGTCGGATTGGGATTGGGAAGTGCCCCGTTTTGTGACCCTGCCAGATTTGCAGGATGATCCGGTAATTTTAAACTTCAGGTCTGGATTTCGGGGGGGTGGCACGTCTAGAACAGCCGCTAGTGGCGAGGATGTTCACAGCCATTGTCATTGAGGACATACTATATGAAGTGTTCTTTAGATTCTATCAGAATACTCTATCTCATCTCATAACTCAATTTACATATCATGTCAGACATAAATCCCCGAGCACTTGGTACAAATTCCAACAACAAAGAAAGAAACCCCGTCCTGGTCCCTGACCCTCCGTACTACAAATACACACCCACCCCTACTACTCCATCCATACCCGAAACTTTGCAAACATCCGCGGCTGAAACACCGCCGGAAGTGGATTTACCACGTGACCCACTCCATTCCCCACACGCCCATCATCCACGGCTCTCTGCTAAAGTCCCATCCGACAATAATTTCATGATACCAATATCCCGCGGTGAACAACAGCTGGATTTCTACGGGGACGACCTGTGGTATGACAGTCAACAATACCTAAATCAACCGGAACAACCAACACAACAACAACACCCACAATGCTCCCATCCACAGCGCCCTACCAACTACTACTACGACCTAGTAGTAACCGTGCCGCATTGCGCCGGCTCCAACTCCAACACATCGGTCTTCTTCCCCGCAGCAGCACAACAACAACAATCACAACAGGAACAACAGCAGCAGCATCATTATCCCTCCGAAAATACGCCACGACACAAGGCGCCGCCCCGAAACGACGAAACGTGACTGTTCTCTCCGACGATGGACGCTACGAGTGGGGAGAGTTGAGCGGGCGGGAGAAAGTCGCGAGGGCGACGCAGCAGTCGGTGAATTTCGTGGTGATTATTGCGGGGGCTGTGTTGACGGTTCGTTCAATAATATGCATATCTATATTCGGACCATTGGTGTAAGATGGGATATGATAGCTGATATATGTGTGTGTCGCGATTAGGGCGGAGTCTTCTACCTTCTCTTCACGGAGGTCTTTTCCCCGAATAGCAAGACATGGCAGTTTGAGAAGGCGGTGGAGCGCATCAAGGATGATGCCCGGTGTACAGATCTTCTAGGTGATCGGAGGGAGATCAAGGCGTATGGGGAGAATACGTGGAGTAGGTGGGCGAGGAATAGGCCTATTGCGTATGTTGCCTTCTATCTATTTTTTACTGCCTCTCGGCAAGGGGGGTTGGGGTGTGGTGGCTAATGGGGATATAGGACGTCCGTTTATCAGGATAGATTGGGTCGCGAGCATTTGAAGATGAACTTTCATGTATGTGATGCTCGTCTCGTCTACAGTCTTTGAGATTGGTTGTGGTATACTGATTGGTTGTGATATAGGTCGAGGGTCCGCTTAATTCCGGAACTGTGTTTGTGCACATGATGAAGCCGTTGAATGAGCATCACTGGGAATATCAGCTTCTTGCTTTGGAAGTGCCGGGTATGTTTGGTTCATAGACTTCGATTTTCTGGGACGGTTGAACTGACTTGTGTAGGACATTCCCGGGTGGTGCTTGAAGAGGCGCGCGAGAAGCCTGGTGTTGGACAGGCGCTGAAGATCTTTGGTATCAAGTGGCGGTAGATGGGAAGCACCGTCTGGACTGGCATATGAAGGGACTGCAGTCATCCCGCATATGAATACTGTATTATATACGTGAACTGATTATGAGTGTAAAATATACCATACGAGAGCTGAACTCGGAGATCGGTCGATACTAGCGACCTTATACCAACATACCTCACTTTATGTTGACCAATGTAATGTATGCATGCATCTCATAATTCTAAACATCATATAAAAACAAAAATCATATCACATATATACAACACAAAACCTTTTTATCGCTCCATTATACTATCCGGGGTCCCTCCAAAATGGTCTTCGCCTCCTCCGACCTCCACCAACTCTTGCCCTCCTCACCAGGGAACGAAAACGCATCCATGCTCTCCGCCTTCATCTCAACACTATACCCAGGCTCCATGGGAGTGACATAGTATCCATCCTTGACGCTAGACGGGTGCACGAAGTGCTCGTGCAAGTGATCCACATACTCCAATACACTCTTCTTTCCACTAACCACCACGTAATCGATCGTGCTCAAGTGCTGCGTGTACTCAGGCAGACCGACACCACCGGAGTGGGGCACAATCGGCACGCCGAACTTGCGCGCGAGCAGCAAGATGGCCAGAACCTCGTTGACACCGCCGACACGGCAGGCGTCGGCCTGCAGAACGGTCAGGGCTCCTGCCTGCAGGAGCTGCTTGAAGACAACGCGGTTCTGGCACATTTCGCCGGTGGCGACACCGATGGGGCCATAGGGGGTGTCTTGGAGGGCCTTCTTGATGGCGGCGTGGCCGAGGATGTCGTCGGGGGAGGTGGGCTCTTCGATGAACCAGGGCTTGAATTCGGCGAGTTGTTGCATCCAGGTGATGGCTTCGGGGACGGACCAGACCTGTATTCACATGAGGTATTAGCATTGTGGGTGATGGATGGGAATAGTGGAAAGGTAGTTAAGTACCTGGTTGGCATCAACCATGAGGATGTTGCCCTTATCATAACCAATGGCTTCGCGAGCAATAGCCAATCTCCTGCGGTCTTCCTCGACGTTTCCGCCAACCTTCAGCTTAAAGTGCTTGTATCCCTGCTCGACGCTCTCCTTGAGAAGGACCTTCAGCTTCTCCTCACCGTATCCCAGCCATCCCGCGCTGGTAGTGTAAGCCGGTACAGCCTGGCTCTGCTCCGCCTCCTTGATACGGTCCTGCTTGCCGGCCTCGACCTCCTTCAGGAGGGCAATGGCCTCCTCGGGTGTGATGGCATCCGTGATGTAGCGGAAGTCGATGCAGCGGACGAACTCCTCGGGAGTCATGTCCGCGACGATGCGCCAGACAGGCTTGTTCAGGGTCTTGGCCCACAGATCCCAAAGAGCGTTGACGACGGCACCTAGGGCCAGGTGAATGACACCCTTTTCAGGTCCGATCCAGCGCAGTTGGCTGTCGGAGACGAGGTAGCGCCAGGTCTTACCCCAGTCGGCGGTGAGTTCGTCGAGGTCTTTGCCGACGATGAGGGGAGCGAGGAGGGAGATGGCGGCGCAGACGATTTCGTTGCCGCGGCCGATGGTGAAGGTCTAGGGTTGTTAGTGAGTGGTCCTCCTGAGGGAAGCAGGATTGTGTGCGTACCATGCCGTGTCCGGTGTAGTCAGAGTCAGTGTAGATGATGCAGTAGGCGGAGGAGTAGTCGCCTGCGGCGTTCATAGCATCGGAGCCGGTCTTATCGAGGGAGGTCTGTCATTTGGTGAGTAGGTATGAAGATAGATAGGTGACTGAGAGGATATGCGCGCGACTTACGGGAAACCTCACGTCCCTCGTAGTGAAACTTGTGATCTTAACCATGGTGACGGCTGATTCTGATCAATTGATCTGAAAAGGAACTGGAGTTGGAAAGAGAAGTCTCTCCAGGTAATCGCAATCTAGTTGCAATGCGGGGCCGTCGGCAGGCACAATATAAGCTCCGGGCTGTCAACACAGGCTGTGGCCACGCAAAAGAAGCAATTGGATGCTACAGAAGACAGCTGAAAGTAGCGAAGGACAATTGAGAAAACCAAATACAAAATTGAAGCGATCAGGAGTGTAACTGGGCTGGGGAAGTTTACTTATACAAGGCGGGCAGGCACCCCCTCCCCCTCCACGCAGTGTGGGGAATTTCCCCTCATTGGCGGAGGAATTGCTCCAGCGCGTGGGTTGGGTTTCTCCGCCAGTCAGAGGCTAGCGCTGCCCGGCCAGAATAAATCCGCGTCTTAAATGTCTGCAGGGTTTCTACTGGCAGAAAATGACTCGGTCATTTGCGCGATTTACATTAGGGTGATGCGGACCGGCTGAAGATACAGAAGAAGATACAGGTTGCTCCTAAGAGCGGATATCAGATTCAAATCACTATCGCTGGCGTTAGGTACAGACAATCTTCGGAATGCATGGGTATAGAGACAGCGTCCGCGTGATGCTGGACCCCAACAGCAGATATACACCATTTATCCGGAAAGACCTCGCTTCTCGCTCTCCGAGAAGAAAATGATCATCCGCCACAGCTTGCGGACCAGCACCTCGGCTTCTTCGTCGAGTGCCTAAGTAGCAGAGTTAGCATGATATCCAGACAGACAAGAAGACACATCAGTAGATTGCAGGTTAAGCTTACCTCCTCCAATTGCTCCACCAGCTCTTGGGGATGACCATGCTTGCGAACATGTTCTTCCACCACGTCCACAAGCATCTGCTCCTGAACACCCAAGTACTCCACGATCTTCTTCTCGACGAACGGCTTGAGTTGCTCGCTGACCACCGTTTCGTCCACAAACTCCCACTTGACCTCCCAGCCCCAGAGTCCCTCCTTGTCCGTCGGGATCTCGGCGGCCAGTTGCCGGGCTGCTTGTGCCCGTTCCTCGTCGGAGAGACCAGCCGCCTCGGCGGCACTGTCGAACTTGATCGGGATGAGAGGACGCCGAGCCGTGGCCTGAGGCTCTTCCTCGTCCTCCAGCAGGCCTTCCACCTCGGCCACCGTCCGACGGGATGTAGCAGCCTGGACCTTTTGCGCAGCGGCTCCGAGAGAGAGCTTGAAGCGCTGAGGTTCCCGAGGGGCCTGGTTCCGAGTCTCCAGCTCTTCCGCCTGGCGCGCAAGGAAGTCGTCGGCCATACCGCGGGCCTGCTCCCGTTGCTGGACAGACCGGGCCCGTTCGCGTTCTTCCGCCGCACGATCAGCCTCGTCCATGCTGACCTCGCGAGCTCGGAATCCTGCCCGGCTACGTAGCCATGCACCCCGGTCGGCATAATAGTCCTCCACCTTGCGCGCGGCCTCGTTATCGTCGTTCCAGTCCCTGTACCGCTTGTCCATCTCCTCACGAACTTCCTGCATCTTAGCCTCCTCTTCCTTGTCTCTCTTCTTTTCGCGCTCCAGGGCGGCAGTCCGACTGCGTTCACGGTTCAGCCAGCGGCGTTCCTGATCAAGGAACTGCTTCTCGAGTTCCGCTTCCTTTTTCTCCTGACGGCGACGCTCCAACTCCTCATCACTAGCGTCTGTTTCTTCTTCCTCGCGGTCAAAGTGAACAGTAGTAGCCCCGTTTATAGAACCGCCATTGACGAAAGACACTCCCTTTTGGTAGTCCTTAGGAATCTGCACGCCAAAGCCCTTAGGGCCAGAAGGCGCCGTAGACACACTGCGATCCCGAGGACCCAGTGGGACTCCATTGGCACCAGCCGCAGGGCCACTCGGAGCGGAAGGCGGGGGCGATGCCAGTCGGTTGAACCGTGTGCCCGCATTGCGTGCTCTCTCCATGGACTCAATCTCTTCCTCCCTCTTCAAACGCTCGATATCACGACGGTTGCTGCGCTCACGGAAGGCGGCGATCTCTTTGGCGACTGTCTCTCTCATCTCGGGAGGAATATCGGAAAGTTCGTCTTCCACTGTGATGGGAATGGTGACAACCTCCGCTCCCGTACCATCGGTCTGACCTTCTGAGTCCTTCATAGCCGTGTCTCCTTCGCGATCGATTGCCGAGACATCTTCCTTCTGAGTAAGGGAGGTAGGATGACACAAGTCAGAGAGGACGTTTGCGAGGGTACTGCGTGCAGCATCTAACCGCGCCTGGCGCTCAGCAGGGTCCTGATCGCCTCTGGTGGCTTCGTACTGCTCCAGGTAACTCAAGGAGCTTTCATCGACGACAACCTGCACATTATTAGCTCCGTATTTCTCTGTATTTCTCAAGTTTGAGACTGACGTACCAGTAGTGTACTCTTCTCCACCTCACGCTCTTCCTTGTCATCTCCCTCGGACGGTGTCTGTCTCTTCACAGGCACTTGCACATCCTTTAGCACTTCCACCGCAGTCCCTAGACTTTCGGGGTCCTCGTACTCTGCGAAACCGAACTTGCAGGGCTTTTCGTCCGCATCCGTAGCGCGGATCCAGCGCCTGAGATTGCCTGCCGAACGGAGAATCTTCTCCACACCCTCGTCACCACCAACGCCCTCAGTAATTCCACCAACGAAGAGAGTCCGCACAATTTCCTCGCGCGTAGGGGGCTGTAGTTGCATCATCGCATCCCGAACGTTCTGACGCTGGGATTCCAGACTAGTCGAACCCAGACCTGCCCGTCTTCCCGGGGCCTCGCTACCGCGTTCTTTGCTCGTATCTGGAGTGGCAGATTTCGGTCCGGACGTACCAAGGCGAATGACGGGGGCAGAGAAGTTGATGTTGGGCATGTTCGGAGGAGGTTGGAAGTTGGGAGGGAAGCCTGCCGGACGACCAGGCTGTTGGGCATTTGCAGGCTGCATCCCAGGGGGGGGAGTGGTTCCGGGGGCTACCATACCGGGTGGAGGAGCTACAAAGTCAGTAACAGATAACAGATGGGGTATTGGAAGAAATGGAAGACTCACCCATGCCCGGGGGCGCACCAGGATAGGCGCCAAAGTCTGGAGGCCTGCCATAGAGACCAGGAGCTAAGAAAGTTAGAATACGTTCATTAAGTTCGTAAGGACATGCAGCGATGCTATCCAATGAGGTGGGAGACGTACGCTGGTAAGGATTGTACATTGCGA